CCACCACCACCGCCACCATCCACCGCCACCACCACCACCGTCCACCACCGCCGCCGTCAACGTCCACCACCACCCTCCACCACCACCACAATCGTCCATATACCACCACCGTACACTACCACCATTAATTTATATAGCAGTCTACAGACATTAAAAAAACAAACAGTCTTCTTCTTGCAGACCGCCGACCTTCGGTCCACCACTGCTCCTGCAAATGTCTACAGTAGTGGTCCGCAGACCGCAGACCTTTTCCTGCAGAAAAAACAAACACCCCCGTAGTGCGTGGTTCTTCGCTGGTGTATCAAATCTTGAATTCCGTTTTGCCTCACGAAACATATTTTTTGAAAAATTGATATATCAGATTTAAAGTCCCATATCTCGATGGTTCACCAAACATGCCCTAAGTTATGGAGTACTCCCTCCGTCCCTAAATAAAGTTCCATTTTTGACTTTTTGAGGATTTAAGGGAGGGATATTTTGGTGTTGACTTTCCAAAAATACCTTTGATGTGATGTGTTAAAGTAAGATGTGATATGTAGATTATTAGTAAAAAAGGTATGATGTGATAGGTAAGGTATGAAAAAGTAAGGGGTAAAAGGGGTTTTTTTTAAGGGAAAAGAGAATTTTATTTAGGGACAAAGAAAAAACGAAAGAGGAACTTTATTTAGGGACGGATGGAGTATAATGTAAACATTGTATCCATTTTAAGAACCAACTTTGAAATATCAATTTTTTTTTATAACATTTATTCATTTTTAAATCTACATTTAATTTATGGTGAAATGAATGTATAGCAGTATGGTCGAAATAATCAAATTGTAGGAAATTTGAAGGAAGAGATAAAACAAAAGAAATAGATTAGAAATTAAAAGATCTTTGGAGAACAGTTAAGGTAAGTCTACAATTTGAACTGGAAAAAAAAATACTAACAATAAGTAGAGAATATGCTGCAAAAATCATTGGCCAACTTGAATCGACAAAAATTAAAAAAAATAACAACCCCTCGAATAATAAAAATGATTAATTGGAGAACAGGCAAAAACCACTGTATGTGCTAACTAAATTGGACCTCATCACGATTCATCAGCAAGAGTAGAAACTCTCTCATCATCACTAATATACTTCTTCCAGTACCAGTGCTTCTTCCAAGCTCTCTCATTCATCTCATCAATGGGGATTCCCTTTGTTTCAGGCAAGAAAAAGCACGAAAAGATCCCCATGACGACGATCCACGCCGCGAAGAAGAAGAACGTGAACGCCTTCAAGTGGCACATCATCGTGAGGAACGCCTGCGCGATGGCGAAGGTGCAGATCATGTTCGCGCTCACCGCGAAGAAGAACCCCGCGGTTCTGGTCTCGAGCAAGAAGATCTCGCTCGGGATCAGCCACCCGAGCGGGCCCCACGACCACGCGAAGCCCGCCACGAAGACGCAGATCACGATCAGCAGCATGACCGCGTAGTGGCTCGGGATGGCGTCGGTGGAGTGGAGGTGCTTCATTAGGATCGCCCCGGCGAGGCACTGGCAGACGAGCATCTGGAGGGCGCCCTCCACGAGGAGGAACTTCCTCCCGAGGCGGTCCACGAAGCCGATGGTGATGAAGGTGGCGGCGGCGTTGACGCCCCCGGTGATCACGGAGGATATGAGGGACGCGTCCGCCCCGAGCCCGATGGTCTGGTACAGGACGGGCGCGTAGAACATGATCACGTTCATCCCGGTGAACTGCTGGAACACCGCGATGATCGTGCCGCAGAAGAACTGCGGCCGGTTGGACCGCTTCGTCATGAGGTTGACAAACGGGTGCCGGATCCCGCGCGCCACCTCCGTGGCCCGCACGATCTCACCCAGCTCCATCTCGACGTTGTCCGTGCCGCGGATCCGCCGGAGCGCATTCCGGCCTTCCTCCGTCCTCCCGCGCTCGACCAGGCTGGTGGGTGTCTCGAGGATGGCGAGGGAGCCGAGGCCGAGGATGAGCGCGGGGATGGCGGCCCCGCCGAGGGAAATCCTCCACCCGTATCCTCCGGTCATCTTGGAAGTGAAGTAGTTGATGAAATTGGCAAACAGAATGCCGATTGTGATCAGGAGTTGAAAGCAGCTGTTGAGGGCCCCTCTAATCTTCGGTGGGGCCATCTCCGATATGAACAACGGCACCGCCTACAAAACACGCACATTTGTTAATTATTACTCGTGCGTAATTGAAAAAATGAATCTAGACAGGCAGTACGTCTACATTCATTCGTTTTTCAATTTGAGAGTTAATATGAAATAGAAGAAATTATGAATCACTTCTTTTTTTCCTATAATGTATGTGAGACGAAGGAGTAAATAATTTTATTACCTGGTTGCCGAAACCGACACCGACGCCGAGGCAGAGGCGTCCGGCGATGAGCATGCCGAGGTTGGAGGCGGCGGCGTTGAGGACAGCGCCGACGAGGAAGAAGAAGGAGGCGAACTGCATGACGGGCTTGCGGCCGAAGGCGGTGCAGAGCTTGGAGGCGACCCAGCTGGCGACCATGGCGGCGAGGTAGAGGGAGGACGTGAAGAGCTGCAAGTACTGGTCGTTGAACTTGCAGTAGTTGTCCTCCTTCGCCTCGTGCTTCTTCACGTACACCCCCGGGAAAAACTTCTTCAGAAAATCGTCCATCGACGTTACCCCTCCTGTAAATATAAGTAACACCAAATAATTACTCCTTCCGTCCAAGAAGTGTTACCCATTTTGACTAAAGTTGAAATTAAGGGAGGGATAATTTTGTGTTGACTTTCCAAAAATACCCTTGATGTAATGGGTAAAAAGTAGGATGCGATGTGTAGATTATTAGGAAAAAGGTTTGATCTGATAGGTAGGGTTTGAAAAAGTAAGAGGTAAAAGTTGTTTTTTAATAGAAATGGATAAGGGTTTGTGGGACACAATTTTTTTGAAACGTGTAAATCTTTTTGGGACGGAGGGAGTACTATATAATACTCCCATCAAATTAAAAATACACACTAATATTTTAATTTATAGTAATACAAAATAAATTCACCCGTAAATGACTAAGTGTTTGTTTGGGAATAGCGTTAGAGGATAGGGTTAACATTTTAAAAAGAAAACTTACGAGCATCATTGAATGTTAGCGTTTTCAAAGTAAACTGCACCGTTAAAATTTTATTCAAAACGCTAACGCTAATAATCTCTAACGTTTTTTCACAAAGAAACCCTAAAATCTCAACAAATTGATTCATTCATATAAAAGTCTAAAAAAAGTTTTTTCGTTCTTATATTACTTTTTATTCGTCCCAAAAAAATATTTTCAATTCCAATTAAAATCTCACTTTTTTTACTCCACATATACTTCCAATTAATTAATCATCACATCATATTCTATCATATTATTTCATTAACCTCTTTTTCTTGTTTTTATTATTTTCATATCACAGCTTCTTTCGTAGAACTTTGAATATATTTTAAAACATGTAAATTTTTCAAATTCAATCTCAATCCTCAAATAAAATATATAAAAAATTATTTCAGTCAAACATCTTAAATTGAAACAGACAGATTAAAGCGCAATGAAAAGAGTGAAAAATAAGAGCTAAATTAGAAAGTAAAACTAAAATCACACATTTTTTTTAGATCTCGTCTTTTTTTTTTTTCAAAGTAGAAAAGTTTAAGGAAACGGGAAAATATATACATACGAACCTGAGATACCAATGTCGTAGCCAAACATGAAACCGCCAAAGGCGGCAATGATGCAGCATATGAATACTTGACATGTGAGCCTGGCGGGAATGTCGACGGCGGCCCCCTTCTCGGCGGCGACGATATTGACGGCCGGCGGCATGATCGGTATGTATATATGTATATATGTATAGTAGATGATAGATTGATAGTTAGATAGATGACCTCTGGTCGGTTTAATTATGCATATTATTGCATGGCCTGACGTCCTTTTATAATTAACGCATTGTGGATAAATACGATTTAGATGAGATAAGCTCATAATTAATCGATCAAAACTAAATAAATCCCTAATTATTTTCCTAGATGATAGGAATTACTAACCTGGTTTGACTCGTTATGTTCTTATCTTTTTTTCCAAATAAAATAAATAAATAAATAAATAAACTGGATATTATTGAGGATGTAGGCCCCACCACGTCGAAGTGATCTAAACCTGCAATGTTTACTCCGTAAAAAAGTTAGTAATTGGACTATTTAAGTTTTGAATTTTTAAACTTTTGATTTATAATTAAATAAAATATATATTGTACATTAATTATATAAAATAATTTTTTAAAAAACATTTGATATAATAAATTTAATAAAATTATTTCTCTATTAATATCTAATATCATTTTTATTTAATTTGAGGCCAAAATTTATCAATTTTGACCGAAGAAAGTCAAAAATGAAAAAAATACTCAAGGAAGGAAAAAATATAATACGATTTATTTTATCCCAAAAAAATTGCAAGAGTATTTTTTTGTCTTTTTTAACGCAATTAAAATAATTAGTGCACATCTATGTAAAAAAACATAGTTACAAAAACATTTTTACACGAAAGAATGATTTGTGGTCATCATTCAGGATATTGGCCAAAGGATAATTGCTATCTTGGATAAAAGATAACTTTATTAAATCTGGTAATAATTATTCAAAGCCTTAAAAAATTGCAATTTTTTCTCGGATATGGAGTCCTTATTTGGGAATAACAGTGTTCTAATGCATTCGTATTTTGTACTCCCTCTATCTCTTACTCACATTTACCGGAGTACTTTTCTAGTTTCTCGATAATTTGTATTTGTTTACATATTTTTATTGATCATTTGATATAATAAAATATTATTCACAATTCTTATTTTGTATAAATTTTGATATGTTTTTTAAATATATACTTTGTACTTTTAATTGTATACCAATTTGTAAATTAAAAAATTTTCTTCGTTCCGTAAAATATTTCTTGTTTTTATTTTTGAGAGGGACAAATGTAGAAGCAGGGCCGGCCCGGGGTGGGCCGAGCAGCCCTACCACGGGGCCCAATATTTTAGGGGGCAATTATATATATATATATATATATTACTAGCTTTGGACGCCCCTTGTGCGTCTGGTGCCCAAAAAGTAGATAGGTAATTTGAGAAGATATTAAATAGACTTATACACAAAGAATTTTGGATTTATCAAGATAGTAGCAAAGGTGGAAGCAATAGTTATTTCCTACAACATTAAATGTTGTGCATTTTTGTGCATATCCAAAAAAAATCAAGAATATCCACACAAAAAGAACAGAAAGAAGCTACCATGAGTTATTATTTTTCCCTTTGGCCAAATATACACAATAATACACCAACGATCTCCCTTTTGCTTTAAGGATGAGTCTTCTCTCTAAGCTTGGATTAGAGCAATTGTTGACAAGACAAATCAATGAAGCAAATAATTTCATAAGCAGCACACTTTGTAATTACACGACTAATAAGTGTAAACATCTACTAATATAAGTGAAGAAATATTTCTATAATATACTTTCGTGTCTCGNTTAGAAGAAAAATACAAATTATGAATTACATATTCATTACTAAATTACATAAGTAAAGAAGTAGGACACATGTTTGGAAGGAGCTAAGGAGACGATTAATTCGGGAATGAGGGATTAAATGCTAAGGGTTAAATATGTTTTTGATCCCCGTGAATATAACAAATTTTACTTCTGATACCTCTAAAATATAGACACGGAGCAAATTAATTTCTCATACATCTTTTATGTGCCTGAATCAGGCGGCTTCAAACCCCTTATGTTCATTCAATTCCTTTTCATATTTTTTTCCCTATTGAATCATATCACACTGTCAATATTGTCATTACCTCGGCAAACAAGGGAATGGAAAGATTACACAAATTATGAGCACATATGAGAAAAAATCTTGAAAGTAGGAACAGACTTGGAGAATATTATATTATGAAAAAGGTCTAACAAAAATGAATAAAAGAAGAAATAATAAAAAAACAAATTTAGTGAGTCATTTAAATCAAAAGAGTTAGAATTCAACCCAAAAGACTCTTCTTTTTTTCTTCTATGCATAGGAAGTTTAACTTTTTATATTTTTGAAAAACAGAAGATATATATATATGTTCATAACTAAAAACAGTACATTTGATTTTAAATTACAAATTTTAAATAAAACTGAATAAACTAAGGACTTGTATTACAAATTATATCTAACAAATGAAACCATTGACTCTTTTTCTGTTTGCAAAGATGAGATATGAAAAAAAGATCACACATAGTGAAGTCTCAAGTAATCGCCTCAACTTGGAAACTTCTCCACTGGGATTGGTTTAAGTTTTAAAAGCTATTAATTTCTGAATTCCTATGTGCATTTGGGAACCTAATACACATAGAGAGCTGCATTACAATTTTATCATAATAGTGTAAACAATTAATCATATTCTTCTAAACTTGTGCATATACCATTACAGATTTATCCTTAAATTTCTAAATGATACACCAACAGTAGATAAACCATACTAAATGGTCATCCTAGCATCATTTATTTCATTATACTAATATGGCTATCCATGTTTCATGATAAAAAACAGTGTGGCTAATTAATGGATTCCTTATAGAATAAGCATTGAACAACATGAAGTAGATAAAGGTGGCCAACATATAATTTTGTTAGCAATAAAAAACAAATCTTGATGCATATTTTTTCAACTGCAATAATCAAAAGATAGGAATTTTTTAAATAAATCAGATTTTTACTTCAACTTCCTAAAATTTCAATTACTCATGTAAATGATAAATATGGGGCTATTTTTTTGGGTGTTATGAATCAAATAAAGGAGTATTGTTATAACTCATAGGCTAAACTAATTAGTAATTAGTAATTACCCTTAAACTTTTTTCAGTCTCAAACAATCAAATTGATAATTAAGGGAAACTATTTTTTCATCAAAATAGAGAATTTTTTAAAGAACCTTCATGCACCACTCAGAACCCAATATAGTATATTCTTAATTTATTCCAGAAATTGAACCCGAAATTCCTCAAATTTGAATGTTCTCATTTCAGATTTAAGATTTGTAGGCTAAAAAGTTTTAAAAAGTAGCATACAATTCAATTTCAAACAACCAAATCAGAAAAGTTCTCAAAGAACTTGAAGGTAGTCAGGGGAACGTAGGAAACGAAGAACAAAATCAGAGAAGCAGGGTACCTGGCGGAAGTATATATACAAAGCAGCGATACAAGGGCAACTATCTCATTAAAAGATTGGGGAAATCCGAATCAGATTTTTTGTCAAAGAGAGAAAAGATAGGAAAACGAAGAAGAAGAAAGAAGAAGAAAAGGGGTGTATCGGGTAGGTGAAGGGGCTGAAGAAATAGAAACATTGTGAAAGAGAAATAAGCCACCGCCCACACAGTAGTGCGATGTACAGTGTAGATAACGGGAGTTAAAATTAAACGGTAAAAAGACTATGTTGGATGCAATGAGCTTTTATTAAATAAAATAAGGGGAGATAAATGTAAAAATTGTGAAGACCAATATTTTAGAGTCTATAGGTAGTGGGTGTCAAACTTAAGTACTTTGGCATATTAGAAGATATTTCATCCACTTGAGCTATTAAACTTAAGCTACTAAACATGTTTCATACCACGTCCCAGTGTATTTATTCAGTTTGACTTTTTCGAGTCAAACAGGGAAAATTTTGAGTTTCAATCAAATAAAAACCGTAATGTATTTTAACATAAAAATGATTTTATTGGATTTATCATATTGAGAACTTTCAAAATTGTATTCCATCCGTCCCAAAAAGTTTGTTACGTTTAGAAAAAACTGCATCCCGTAAAGTTCGTTACATTTCTATTAAAAAACCACTTTTACCCCTTACTTTTTCATACCATATCTATCACATCATACCTTTTTTCTAATAATCTACCCATCACATCCTACTTTTAGCTATCACATCAAGGGTATTTTTGGAAAGTTAATACCAAAATATCTCTCCCTTAATTTCTCAAAAAGTCAAACCGTCCCATTCTTTTTGGGACGGAGGGAGTATTTCATTATGCTAATATGTAATATAAATTGAAAGTAATTATTAGAGTTCAAAGTTTGTCCAGTTTGACTTGAAAAAGTCAAACTGAACAAATACACTTGGACGGAGCTAGGTAGTATGCAGTATGATATATATGGACTATGATGATTCAATAAAACTTGTAATTATTTAGAAAAAGAAACACAAGTGTATTTAGTATGCTTGTTTTATGAACTTATAAAAAATAGTTCAATAAATAAATAAATAATTTTTGTTATGCTTTATCCGATCTACGGGGCTAGAAAACTAAATGTATCAAAAGCAAATTAAATCAGATAAACACATGTTAATCTTCTATCCAAATTTTTTCGTGTTTGGCCACTTTGCAATAAACCCATGCCATTATCCCTGATCCTAGTAAGCGAGGACACGCTTGTAAAATCCACACAAACATGTTCTCCATGTCTACTCAAATGAAGAATATCGGTTGGCCGTATAATAGTTCTTCATTCAAGTTGTTCCGTTAGAAAGTTCACAAGAGCCTCCTTCTTAGTCGAAATCCTTATCCATTTAAAACATCACATAGAACCTCTTTGACAAAAGCATGCTTAGCTTGTATTTAAACCCAGGTAGCTCGTTGCAATAAACTGCATGCTCACCAAAAGTATTTAAACAAACTTTGTAACAAACTAGACACGCTTATCAATTGAAAACATATATCAATAACCAGTACTTGCAATAATACTTACGGAGTAGTATTTAAAAGTAAGAGAGAAAATAATAATCAAAGTTTGGTCTTATTATTGAGGATTGAAGCGTCATTTTGTCTTCTAGGCCTAGTATTTCAATTATATTGCTTGGACTTGTAGGAGCTCGAATGTGAGTGGTTACTTGTTAGCTAGAGCCTCCGTTCGCTTTTGTCGTGTTAAGATTTAGGTTGAGTGTCCTCGTTGGTCATTATCAGGCTATCAATGCACAAAGATTTTGTTTTATCTTTCAAAAGAAAAAGTACTTCGCATAAACTATTTGGGAATTATTAAAAGGACCATGCTACACACCCCACCTTTACTACCAACCTTGCCTCCACCCACTTCTCTACCACATATTTATCTCTACACATTCTCCACCCACCCTCTAATTTTAATTTTCTTGCCTTCCTATCACATGGTTATGTAAGGGGGCATAGATGGTAGCAAGGATGAAGGTTTTTAGCATTTTCATTATTAAAAAGATACTCCCTAGCCTCCCCTTCCTTAAAGCTATCTTATTTACTATTCAAAACATCACAATAACTTTTGTTTGCATGTGTTTTTTCATTAGTCATTTGACAAGATGAAATATTTTTGTCACTACTTGTTCTATAGAATTTTTGATATAATTTTTAAATATGTAAATTTTACTTATTATTTCTATATGAATTTCTTAATACGATCATTTAAAGAAATATAAGGTTTTGCACATAAAAACGATATATGAAGTGTTTTAAAGAACGAAAGGAGCACTTCTTATGAAATTTTAAAAATATACGAGTAATATTCCTTTCAATATTTTGCATAAATTCTTTTCCAACATTTTGATTTTTTTTTCAAATATCAATAATTTTTTTCAACATTTACCAATTTTCCAGTTCTTTCAATTTCTTTTGAAACTAATTCAATTTTTTGTTAAAATCATTTCAAACAAGTTCTAAATTCTAAATAAAGAAGAAAAAAAAAGAACAAAAATAAAATAAAATACTGGAGTAAGTTCCCAAAATAGTCCTTTGTAATAAGGTGTTTTTCCAAATTAGTCATCAATAAGTTTTAATTACCTGCATGATCCTTCGTAAATAATTTTCCTCTAATGAGGATTAATTGAGGGTATTTTGGTATTTTTTATCTGCTAAATTTAGAATTAATTCCTAAAATAATCATTTCTAATGAGGTGCTTTCCCAAAATGATTTTTTCTAATTAAAGATATGTATTTGATTTGAAATTTAAAAGATTGTTTATAAGTTTTAAATAATTCATGAATTATTTATAGTCAATGTATTTTTTTTCAATTTTACATTTAGTTATACATAAATAACTTTTCTTGAGAATATACTTTAAATTTGGATGATCAAAATATCAAAGTATCTTTCAAAAATAGAGAATCATATGGCCTCGTTTGGTATACAGAATTCAAATTACGAAATTGGAATTAAGGACTTCAATTCCAATTCTGGTATGTGGTAGTACAAAAATTATGTGAATTTGGAATTCGTAGTGCAAAAAATGAATTGGAATTGATGAATTCAATTCTATGGAATTGAATCTCATGGAATTTCAATTGCAATTCCATGAATTCCGTATATCAAACGGACCCTACAAGTAATTACTCCCTCTGTTTGTAAAAAAAGTTCCTACTTTGATTTGGAGCCAAAATAAAGAAGTGTTAAATTATAGTTGATTTCCAATTTTGTCCCTGATGTGATAGATAAAAGTAAGATGTGATTGATAGATTATTAGAGAAAAGATATGATGTGATAAGTAGGACATGTAAAAATAAGGATAAAAGTGGATTTTTAATACAAAGTGGAAGTGTTTTGTTGGAAGTGGAAAAAATGAAAGAGTAAGTTTTTGAGAAGGGAGGAGTAAAAGTTATGGAATTGGAAAAATATCCTACCATTTTTGAAAGAAAAATGCTAGGGGAAGGTGTACCTCATTTGTCCCCCACCCCCTTCATTACCACAAAAATGGACAAAAATTTTAAAAAAAATTAAATAAATAAAAAGTAAATAAAAATGAGGAAGGAAGTGGGGACAGATGGGATACCCTAGTTTTTGAAATGCCTGCAGCTTCGTCCTAAAAAGAGAGGAAGGAATCCAAATTCTCCAATTTTCCGAAACCCTACCCCTCTTACGCTGCTTCTTCCGACAGCCGTCGGCCACTCCGCGTCGTCCTGTCGCCGCACCGCACCTCCACCCTGTTCGTATTCTCTCTCTGTTTTTCTCTCATTCAGCTAAGTTATGATTGCGGTTACTTCTTGCCTCTTGTTACTTTTAATCCGTATTTTATTTATATTTTGGTGATCGGATGCTCGCATCCTGTTCCTACGCAAATGAGTTACCTTTCTGTGAAGTGTGCTAATATTTTTCTGTTCTCTTTTTGCTGCGGTTTCTGCTCAGCTCTGGGCTGTTAATCTTGCTCGCCGTTTGTGTACATTACGTTTCAAAAACTGTAAAGAAAATAAAACAGAATACAGAGAGCAATTGTTTTAATTATTGGTTAATGCTAGGCCGTATTCATGAATAAAGAAAACAATAAAAGAGAATTCAATTGATGTTAGGTAATTTTTTTTGGGATTGTAGTTCAATTTAGTTGATTGATTTTCTTGTGAACATTGATTTTTTTCCAAGGAGAATCATTGCTTATGTTTTTCCAGTACTCGATCTATATATTCTCTACAAACCCTGGGAGTTTCTGTGTTTTTTTTCCTCTAAATACAATAAGGCACACTTCTGCAGGTCTGCACCAAAGAAGCTTCATACGAGCTGTTTAACAAGTTTCCCGGGGTAAAAGGGTGAAGTGTGATATCTTGGGGTCAGTCGGAAGTCGAGGTTGAGTTTCTTTTCATTCTCGACAAAATGGCAAAAGAAATGAAGGAACTTCAATTGCATAACACCAAGACGAAGCAAAAGGAGGTGTTCAAGCCTATAGTCGAGGGAAAGGTTGGAATGTACATCTGCGGTGTCACAGCCTATGACCTCAGCCACATTGGCCATGCCCGTGCCTACACTGCTTTTGATGTACTCTACAGGTATAAGATTTTGCGCTTGTTATGTTCCCTATTAGGTGAAAGTTGTGTGTTTATTTTCCACAGCATCTAAAATCTAATTTTGAACCATAGTTGTTAAGGCGTTGCCTAGGTGACAATTTGGCGTCCTGGCGCTCGGCTTTTTCTCTCCATGTGTGTTTAATGTTTATAGTATTATTTTTTAAACTATGTTTATTTGAATTTTTTTAAGAGAACCGTTTCTAGAAATTTAAAGTTTATGATCTACAATATATAATATGATATATTAATATTAATATTTCTAATGTACAACAGTTCATATCTATTATGTGTCGCCTAATTGTTACCTAGGTGGTCGCCTTGTCAACACGGCATCCTGGCAGTACACTACACTGGCACCTTGCCTTGCCTTGGCACTGTGACAATTATGTTTTGAACTATATATTATGCCGAAATTTCTTTTGGCGAATTGGTGTTAATTGTTACATAGTATTTTGTCATTTATTAAATGTGTCTTTATCATTATTTCAATATGTCTTAGTATTTTATTTTAAATTTTAAATTTTAAATTATCCCTCTTAGAAATACTCCTAATTTATTTTTGGCAATTGGAATGCTACAGATATTTGAAGCATATTGGCTACGAAGTTACCTATGTCCGCAATTTCACTGATGTCGATGACAAGGTGAGAAGTTTTTTGACCAGGCATCTCTTTTGCTCATTGTACTATACCATAAAATTGACTTAAGTCTGCAGTATTTTCTGGTTTCTAAAAATTGGTATTTTTAGATTATTAGGCGAGCAAATGAGCTTGGGGAGGATCCTGTAGCGTTGAGTGCTCGGTTTTGTGAAGAGTTCCTAGCTGATATGGCTGATCTACAGTGCCTTGTTCCCACCCATCAGCCACGCGTGAGTGAACATATGGACCAGATTAAGGACCAGATAGCTCAGGTATTTCACTTTACAAAATTCTATAATTTTCCAATTGTTGGATAAGATATCATTTTCAGTTTTTGTGGTCAAATGGGCTGTGCATGTACATGAATGTGGATATCGACATGAGTGTCCTGTCACTCCTGTGTAGCGTTTAATAATCTGTAACCTGATTTGCTCTGCAGATTATAAGCAACGGATGTGCATATGTTGTTGAGGGTGATGTTTACTTCTCTGTTGATAATTTCCCATTATATGGCTGTCTCTCTGGGCGTAAGCCAGAAGATAATTTAGCTGGCAAACGTGTTGCTGTTGATGACAGAAAGCGAAATCCTGCTGATTTTGCACTGTGGAAGGTTAATCTGGCTTTCCATAATTACCTTTTTATATGTTCATTGGATTATTATTATTATTATTATTTTCATTAGAGCATGTTTGAAATTCACTTCATTTTCCGTTCAGGCTGCAAAGCCTGGGGAACCTAAATGGGACAGTCCTTGGGGTCCTGGAAGGCCAGGATGGCACATAGAGTGCAGTGCAATGAGTGCACATTATTTGACGCACTCCTTTGATATTCATGGTGGTGGGTCAGATTTGCTATTTCCCCATCACGAAAACGAGGTTGCTCAGAGTTGTGCAGCTTGCCCTCAGAGCAATGTCAAGTACTGGGTACATAATGGTTTTGTAACTGTAGCTGATACAAAAATGTCAAAATCCCTTCGAAATCACTTAACAATTCGAGAGGCAAGCATTGCTAATTATAACAAGTTTAATTTGATATTATACTGAAGTTGCAAATTGATCTTTTTGTTCAGAGCATTGTAATTAATAAAAGTTCCACTTATAGGTTACGGAGAAGTATCATCCACTCGCCTTAAGACATTTTCTTATGGGAACCCATTATAGATCTCCTATTAATTTCACATTCTCTGAGTCAGATATTTCATCAGAAGCTGTGTTCTACATATATCAGGTTAAAAACACTAGAGTGTTTCGTAAAGTGTTGATTAAATCCTATTTTGCTTTGTTATGCATGAATGCTAAATATAAACTAAAGCCCACATTTTCAGACCTTACAAGATTGTGAAAATGCACGATCAGCATTGGAAGAAGAGGCTGAAAAAGACGGAAAAATCAGCTCTGCTGCTCAAGAGAGCATCACTAAACTACGCGAAGAATTTGAGGCAAAATTGTCTGATGATTTGCACACGCCAACAATACTTAATTCCTCTCTTCAGGAAGCCCTAAAATTTATGAATAGTTATATAACCACGCTCAAGGTAATAATGCTTCTTTCTGATGATTGTTCTTGGGTCTTGATTTGTTTTGTGGTCTGAAATATCTATTTCTCCTCAAAACTATACTAGAAGAAACAGCCAAGAAAACAACAACTATCCATTGTGAGGTCTCTATCTGAGTTGGAGAAACAAGTGAAGCAAGTTTTAGATGTTCTAGGTTTGCTGTCAAAATCAAGTTATACTGAGGTACTTCCTAACCTATTTTCCCTCATTTTTCTCAATTACTACTTGCCGGTGCAAACATCTTGGGGATGGGCCGAGAGTTACACATTAAACCAGTTGATCTCTATTTTAATATTGGGAGATAATACTTACAACAATAATAATTCTTTTGTCAACTTTTTTGATAAACCAATACACTAGATCATTCGATCTCTATTTTTGCGGAGTATAATGATAATAACCCCTCTTTGATTAATCCTTAAGAGGTTCCTCCATACATTAAATTGAATTCTGATGCCTACAAGCTACTCCATACAATTTAAGATTCTATAGATTTCAAATACCAATCATTGTTCTGAAATTTCCATATAATTCAATATTTAATAAAAAATTAATGATATAGATTATGACTTTATTTTGAAAATGTATCTAAATTTCAGGCTATTGGACTTTTAAGTAGTTTGTTTTGATTTAATCATTTATTTCTAGTCTGAATTCTTTACCATCCACACTTTTGATATAGTAGATTGCTATTGCTATTGCTATTGTCATTGTCAGGGTTAGCGATATTGTTAGCGTTAGTGATAGCATTTGCTTTAGCGTTATTGTTATTTTTAGCATTAGCGTTATTGTTATTGTTAGCATTAGCCACACCGGCTTAAACACTAACCTCACCCCGTCTACTAAATTCACTCCATGCTTTTTAAATTTATTATATACTCGTCCCGTCTACTAAATTCACTCCATGCTTTTTAAATTTATTATATACTCACCCCTGTTTTGGACATTAAATACCCCTAGTGTGTTAGTATTAATTCTACAAGTTCACCCCACTAAATTCAGACCATAGGATTCAACATCTTCAGTCTAGGTATTATAACAATTAACCATATTATAAACTAAATAAAAAACAAATTAAGTATGGAAAATCAACTTTGATGCAAAAACATACTCCACAGTAAAAAAAATTACAACACATAAATTGAAAGTGAGACAATGGGTTTTTAATCAACTTAAGCTGTATAGCACTCATGCCAAAAACACAACACAAATTGATTAAAATTAAGAGGAGGAGGTAGACCTAAGAGGACTTGGCAAACATTGATCAAGGGAGACCTTCGCATGAATGATCTCACAACAGATATGATACATGATAGGGTGCAATGGTATCGTTTGATCCATGTAGCCGACCCCACCTAGTGGGATAAGGCTTTGTTGTTGTTTGTTTCTTTAAGTCATACGGAGTATGGCTCATGCCAATTTTTTGTGTGGAGGATGACCGAGCAGGAATAAGTTTGCATGAAAACTACTCTGTGATACTGAACCAAAATTGAAAAAAAGATTTAGTTTTTCAAATAATTAGAGAATTTGCAAAGGTTCAATGAAGAACAAAACTGCGGCAAAACATCTTCTTTGGGTAACTTTGATCCTGAGCAACCATAGAAGTTAGCAGAGTTGAAATTCACAGCCGCAATGTCTAGAGATGAAAACCAAAGAAGGCAGACGACGTTAAAAACTTTAGCTAATACTCTGTAATCCGTATTTCTACATTAGGTTTATGGAGTAGATTTAGTGATTTTTAAAGGGATTAGGTTACATATTTCTCTTTTCATTTGATCAAAAAGTCACTGTTAAACTGGGGCGAGGTTAGTGGTTAACTGGTTGTGGCTATCACTACCCTAATGTTGTTGTTGTTGTTGTTGTTGTTGTTGTTATTATTATTATTGTTCAGGTCTTGCGGCAACTGAAAGAGAAGGCTTTACGACGTGCTAAGTTGTCTGAGGATGATATTGTGCATTTCATTGAAGAAAGGATGGTAGCAAGGAATAACAAAGAGTTCTCTAAGAGTGATCAGATTAGAAGTGATTTGGCTGCCAAAGGAATTGCATTAATGGATGTTGGGAAGGAAACTATTTGGAGGCCTTGTGTGCCAGCCCAAAAAGATAAGCCCGCCGAGAAGCCAGTCCAGCCCGCCCCAGCTGCTGCGACAACGGAGAAGGAGCTATAAGACAGCTCAGCTCTCGGAGTTACAAACTAATTAGCCGGTATGTTTGTGATATTATCCCTCGGTCCATCGTGCGCGAATGTGTATTTTGCAACAAGAAAACATTATTTCAAGAGTTAGAAGTGTCCATTGAAATGACTAAAGATTTTGGCCCATGAACTCAAAATTGCCAAGTCAAATCAAATATATAATATACACAATATATACTCCGTAATATTTATGCTAGACATTCCATTCAATATTTTTCACTATCCATTTTTTCATCCCTTTGTATTACAGCAAATAATTTGTTTGTCTCAATTAATTATCACTCCGTATTAGCAATATGTTACCCTTTTAATGACCCAATCAATTATTTGCTACATTTAGTAGCAACAACACCTTATCCCACTAGGTGGGGTCGGCTACATGGATCAAATGACGTTATTGCGCCCTATAATATACCATATCCGCATTGAAGTTATTCATGTGAAGCTATGCATGGATCACTTTGTGCCAAGTCTTCATAGGTCTACCATGTCTTTATCTTAGCCACATGTCTAGTTATCATTTGATCAATCTTTCTCACTGGATGCTCTCTTTATCTTCTCTTCACATGTTTAAACCACCCAAGACAAGTTTCTGTCACCTTTTCTACAATAGTTGTCACTTCAACTTTAGCTTTCATATCTTCATTTCTTATTCTATTCATACGTGTATGACTGCAAGCATTTTTATTTTGGCCATACTAACGTTGTGCTCATGTTCACTTTTGCTATCCAACAATCTGTTCTATACAGTATTGTTGGTCTAGTCACAGTATCATAACATTTTCCATTTAGTTAGAAAGGTACTTTTTTTGTCATATATGAAGCCTGAAGCACTTCGTCATTTTGACTAACCGGCTTGAATCTTGTGGTTAACATCACTATCATTTTTCCACTGTCTTGAATGATACACTCAAGATATTTAAATCTCTTTACTCGTGGTATAGTATTCTCCGACTTTTGCCTCGATGTTATTATTTCTCCTTTTGTTGCTAAACTTGCACTCCATATTCTCTGTTTTAGTGTAACTTATATGCAAGTCATGCAACTCCAAAGCCTGTCTCCACGAATCTAAGTTCCCATTTAAATCCTCTTGTGATTCGCCCATAAGGATGATGTCATCGAGACAAAGCATACACCATGATATAGGTTTTTGGATAGTCCAATGTTCTTAGTTGTTACCATCTTTTGCTAGACTAGTGGAATATTAAAATTTACTAATTGTTTGAAAAACGATTATTTTAAAAAGATTTCAACGGAAAGTCCATTGATTTTTTTTGTTTATCTTCTTTTTTTAAAAATTTTAATGACCAAAATTAAATTAAAATCATATAATGCTTCATGTATCAGAGTATTAGTCTAGTTTTAACTTTTTACTCCCTCCGTCCCAAATTATAATGCATGTTCACTATTCACAGGGTCAAATTTCATTCACTTTCTTTCTCTATTTTCGTTAGCAATTTGATAAAATAAAGTATTGTTGTCACTACTAGTTTTGTAGATCTTTTGATGTAGTATTTTGATATGTAATTTTTATTTTTTTTATTCTATATCATTTTTGAAAATAATTTCAGTCAAACATCGTAAACCGAAACAGACGTTATAAAATGGGACGGAGGGAGTACAATCAATATTGATAAACTTTAACCATCTTTAACCATTAGTTGAATAAAATTTGTATAAGATATTAATACAAGAATAATTTTATTAGATTTATCTTGTGAAAAGATAACAAAGCTCTTCGCCTTTTGCCCACCCAAAGCACCCCGATTAGGTTGTTCCCAAACACCTTAAAAACTTGTTTCATCCCTTAAGTCATTTCAACATCCAATCAGGGAAATATTTCTCTTGCAGTGTAGGGATGTTTTGGGAGAGTGGATGCAGAGCCCCTTAAAGTATGCAGAACACATTTGTACAAAACCTAGCCAAACATACAGTCTCCAACTATCTCTCGATATCAGATTTCTTTCTTGGTGTTTGGTGAGACCTAAAAAAAATTCAAATCCAATATCTCTAGATATTATAAATTTTCTAAATGAAAGGTTTCGATATCTTTTGAACTTGGAGATATCAATGTGGGGAGTCAAATCCCCTTCAACCATCGACCATTACTGCCACCGCCAACTACCCTTGTTGTTGGCGACCCCCGCCAATTAGTAATTAAACCATGATTTTAAATCTCTCCAAACAACCTCATTTTAGATTACGAAACCAATTCCATTTCTCTCAAATTTCAAAATCCATATAATATCACATTTCCAAAACCCACTAGAGAGAAATCCCCCCTTTTCATGATTTGTTTCTCGAAAATGGCTGTGCTCAACAAAGATTTACAAGTCATTATTTACCAATGAAACCACATGACAGAAGGCCATGTAAAATAGAGAACAAGCCCCGTTTGGTACAAGGAATTCAAATTATAGAATTGGAATTGAGGACTTCAATTCCAATTCTGGTGTTTGGTAGCACAAATATTATGTGAATTTGGAATTTATAGTGCAAAAAATAAATTGAAGTTGATAAATTCAATTCTATGGAATTGAATCTCATGGAATCCCAATTCCAATTCAATTCTAATTCCACCAATTCCGTATACCAAACGGACCCTATGTAAATGCAGATATATAGCCCATGTCATCAAACCAGTCCACATTGAAAATATAATTTGACCAAACTTGTCACATACATCCACATGTTTTATGAGACACAAATACTACAAAAAACACCCACAACTCATTTATATAAAAAAACAAATTCCATTTCACACGCAATTCGGATTCAAAATTGGTACCGTTGAGAAGATACCTAATACAGATGGAAGCCATCCTATTCATTCTGGTTGCCCGAGGTGTTTGATGCAGCAGACAACATAGGAGTGCCATTCTTGGGCAACCTTTGCCAACCTCAGACTTCCCAAACAACTGCTTCCTCAAAACCTCATGCAAATGACCAAACAACTCTTTCTTCAATGCCTCAAATGCCAAACCCAATCTCTCTATTTGGCTCCATGGCATTCTTGTTGTACATAAACAAACCTATCTCCCTAAGGACTACACTCACTACATTAATGGCACTCTTTTTAAACACTCTGTATCGTATTTCTTATAACATACTACAATATAAATTAAACCACCGCGATAATACAATCTGGGGTGACTCTACGTCTACGAAAAAATGGGGATGGTCCAACCACTTGCATATACCTGCATCAGAATGAATAACACGAGCCAACAAATGTACTGCTTCATTAGTAGAACAATAAACATAAAGCTAAGATCTTCATCACGAAGGCTTAGAAAATGTTTACAGTGGTCAATCATAGAGGAAAAATAAGACCAACATTGGGATGAAAAAAAGATAAAGAGTCCACAGTATTCTAGCAGTCTATCTCAATGGTCACGTGTCCAACTTTTGGCCTTTACCCAACGTAAGGCTAACCACGATAGCCTCAACTTCCCACGCACCAAAGCTTCTTCTGCATAATTTTTTTTTGTTCCAATAAATTTCTCTCAAGATGCACGATCCTAAGCAATAAAATCCAAACTCACATAACCGTCAAAGAGGTCCACCGACTAATCCACATTAACCTTCACAACATGTAATGATTAAAGCCCAATTTACCTCCTATCATGTGACTGTCCGGCAGGTTTTGAGGGCCCCTCAGGATGGGCTTCATCCTTTTCACGACATGTAATGATAATTTTTCACATGTTTGTAGTGACTCATTTGCAAAACCCCCCATGGGAGAGGTATTTTCGACCACCATCCGTCAATACACACACACAGAGACGCTCAAACCCAAATGGGAAAGATAACCTCTCCCCTCCACACTCTTGCATTATAGGCTTTCCAAATCATCCATAGCAAATGCATGGTCAAAGCTTGGTCTCACTAGTGAAAAGTCCAAGAACGGTTAGCAACCAATCATGATGGTTATTCACCTTCTTTGGCTAGACTCCAATGGTATTTTCAATTTTAATGGTTTAAAAAAAATGATAGGTCCTATTAGAAAAGGATTTCAACATGATGTCCATTGATTTTTTTTAATATCTTTTTTCTAATAGTGAAATATTTTGAATTATCAAAATCCTATTAAAGTTAAATATATTCAATGTTTCATCTTCAATATTATACATAGCATTAGTTAACAAAAATAAATCAATAGTTTTCCTTACTCTATAGCCTTGATAATTAGTGTCCCCCTCACCGGGGTACTTTCCTTTTTCAGTTAAGAATGTTGTGGGGATAAAGTAGCAATGTNGGAAGACAGTGGCTTTGTTTTTAATGTCAGTGCCGGAAATGGATATTGGACTAGTGGAGGAGCTCACCAACGAAGAAGAAAAACTTTCTTTACTTCTAAATTACTCATCAAACCACCATTTTCCCAATAATCTCTATCAAATAAAACACCTAAAACTACTGCTGCTATGATGTATCCAACAAACAAAAAGGCTTCCAACTAAACCATAAGCTTCGTTGAAAGCAACATCAGTATAGATACTTCCCATTCTAAATGAGGCACATCCCTAACCAGGTAAAGTACAGTCTTCCACCCATATGGATGTTTCAGAATAGTAATCCATGGCTTGGCTCTTCAATCGTGAATCGACAATGCTAGATTTATCTAGTATTACGGCTTAAAATTATGAATAAAACCACATAACAATTTACAATAGAATGCCATGTTAAAAGAGAATTGTGTAAATGCAAATATTAATCTACGCCGTGGCATCAAACAAGTTCACATTGAATATGTAATTAGATTAAACTAGTTGCATCCACATATTTTATGAAATTCACAAATACTACGAAAAACACCCGCAACTCATTAAAAAACAAATTCCATTTCACATGCAATTCGGATCAAAATTGGTACAGTTGAGAAGATACCTAATACAGATGGAAGCCATCCTATTCATTCTGGTTGCCCGAGGTATTTGATTGAGCAGGCAACATAGGAGTGCCATTCTTGGGCAACTTTGCGAGCATCGGACGCGTCATCCCAACCTCAGACTTCCCAAACAACTGCTTCCTCAAAACCTCATGCAAATGACCAAACAACTCTTTCTTCAACGCCTCAAACGCCAAATCCAATCTCTCTATTTGCTCCATTGCGTTCTTGTTGTACATAAACAAACCATAGTACAGATCAAAGCTGTCACTTGACGTATTTGCAACCAAATCCAGCAAAGTTTCATATCCTCTGGTGTTAATTGGAGTGCTCTCCAGCTGCAACTTCTCCAAGACTCTCCCCACTGTGTGTGTGATAAATTGCGAGCCGGCAGCGTATTTGTCATGCTCTGCACAAGTCATTTCCACCATCCTACACCCTTCCTTCTCAAAAATGTTCAAGAAATTGTCCACCCTAGCAAGCCTAGCGTCTTCATTCCCAATCCTGACTTTGTCAAACACAAATGGTAAATTTTCCCAGCTATTTCTCGCACTCTCGGGGCCAAACATTGGATGAGTGCAAAGAATATCAAAGTGTGCAGGCAAAACTTGCAGGAAAATGTTCTTGGGGAACTCCTTTACCGATAAAACATCAACAAAAAGCGTATTCCTTTTTAATCGTTGGGTTGGGAGAGACCTAAGGACTGTCTCAGTTGAAATTATGGAGGTACAGAGAAGAATTACATCAGGATGCTGTTCGCAGAGATCATGAGCATCAAAGCAGAAAGAAACGCCAATGGATTGTGCAATCGATGCATAATCTGACCTCGAATGGGCCAAAACAGTATGGCCTTGGCGCACGAAGGCCTTCGCGAGGAACTGACCGAAGTTTCCGAATCCAATCACGGCGATTTTGAGCTTGGTGGATTGAGCGTGCAGTTTGACCAGCCGCGCCTCCTCGTCAAACGGCTGCGCGGCGTCAATGGCCTGTATGCGGAGGCGTGGGTGGCGGCGGAGGAAACGAACATACGATTTCGATGGATGTAAGGGAGACAGTGTGTAGGGATTGCGAAGAGATGACCGAGAGGTGCGGGAGGTTGCCGGGGCGGTGGCGATGGATCGGACGGCGGAAAATGAGGCCATATTGGTACCGTTTGTTTAGATTCCACTGCTGTGCTTGAGGCTTAATAAACGGCGGTGCCGGCCACTGGATCAGAGACGCTGAGTGGGTGGAATTCATTGGAGTGTTATGAAACCGGACTGGACCGGGTTGAACCCCGACCCGGACACATCCAACCCCCCCAAAACCCAAAAATATCCGGTAAAAATTGGGCCTATCCGAAAAAATTCGGATTGACTCAGGATTCGTCCTTCCCACCTGGTTGGCCTCCGGTCCAGTTTTAAAATCATTAATTCATTGGGGGGCTGAACTTTTGAGAGAGTCACTCCACACAAAAAAAATTAAAAAAAGTAATGGCATTGTTGCCTAGTGGCATTCATTATTAAAAATATGTACAAATAAATAAAAATTTTCATAATTTCTAAACGGTGAAGTGTAATATTCTTTTTTCGGATGGAGGGAATACTTACAGACTTAAGCTTCAAATAATAGAGGAAAAAAGTTAACAGTATACCAAATATATACCTTAACTTAACATCAAGTGTCTCGCATACACACAAAGACAATAGTTGTCTGTGAATCTCATAAACAATTGTTTTCTGTATCTGTTTCATACATTTATTGTGCAGGTTGAGATACAAACTAGGTGTACCCCTAGCACACATCATAATAGAGAGCTAATCCAAACGTCCCACTAGTAAGAAGATGTATCTCAATTCTTTCTTCCTGGTCAACATCTAGTACTAGATGTGCTAGATGTTGACCACAATCGTAGTGGTCACCACATATACATAATAGAGACATGTGTGGTCACATGAACTATATGTGGTATGTTACAAACGTCCCACACGTGTCATGCCACATATAGTTCATGTGACACATGTCATGCCATGCGTGTTCCTTATCACTACATGTGGTGCCACGCGTGCATATTAAATATTCATTATTTTATTAAGGTTATGTTTATAAAAATAAAATAATTAATAATATATAAACTTTTCATCTTCTAACCTTTAGACTTTCTCCCTAGAATAATTACTAATTTTATGACATTTTCATTATTGTAACATATTTTATACAAAAGGTTATGTTTATAAAAATAAAATAATTACCCCGAGTAATAATTTTTAATTTTAAATCTATTTACCATTTCCTTTATTTCAAAAAATAAAGTTATGGATTATTGAAATATTCATTATTTTTTGTTTTACTAATTTTCAATATCTAAGAATAGTTCAAAACCCCAACTAAGCAATTAAAAAAGAAAAATAATGTTTCTACATTGAAATGAAAAAAACAAATAAAACATCTATATTAAAATTAAAAAATATACTTCTATTGAAAATGATGTATCTTATAACTATAAAAAATAATATCACATATTATAAATTTATTAAATTAAATAACTAAAATAAATAAACTTTATTAGTAGAATGTCAAAAATTTAGAATGTATGCGAGCCCGTGCGAAGCACAAGGTTAACTCAAGTAAATCAATAAAGTATAGAAAAAATAAATAATCAAAAATAAGTGTTGTTTTTGTTTTTTACGATTATCTTTTTTGGAGAACGAAAAATTAAGAATTTTACATGTTACGGGCCGGACCGATTCTAACGGGACTACCCGGTCCCCAAAGGTCCCTATTTTTTTCACGAAGACCAAACTAGTCAGGACCGATTTTTAAAAAAGACCGGACCGATTCTCTCTTAAATAATACTAGTCTTTTCAGGACACCGATTCGGTCTAACTAGTCCGATCAATTTGCTCATCTCTAACGGTACCAAACCAATTTTGGTTTCTGATTTTCACTTGGATAAAATCACGATTGGCATCTCGGAGGAGGTCATTCTTGTTCTCGTAGTTAATTACATTTTTTTAAATAATTGATGATAAATTTATAAAATAAGAAAAAATATACCTCCAACTATACAAGAGATCGAATATATAGGTGTTACACCACCCCAATAACAGAACTCTATGGTTTAAAAAAAATACATAACTAATATATAAATTTTTACTAAAGTCTTAAAGTAATCTTAGTCGTTAAGTAAATTTTACTATCAAGTAAACTTAACTTTTAACAAACTTTACCTCACTCTTAAGTAAAGTTATTCTTGATGTTAATATCAAGCTCCATAACCTATCAATTCTCTCACTTAAAGACTAATTTAATCACCTAAAAACAACCATAACAAGAACTTGCCGAACTTCCAAGAGACAAATTTCGTCGCAGAACAAAGGAAAGAGTAGTATGTTGCAGATTTGTGACGAATCTGCAAAAATATATTCCATCTCATGTAGTATATATTATTTGCCGCAGGCAGGAATTCCATCACAAATCTGCTACGAGATCTACCATGTAACTTTTTAAATCTACGACGGAATCTATGTCCGCCGCAAGTCCATCACGTGGAATATGTTAGAGACGTGGCACGACGAGAAAAATTTTCCGACAAAGTATGACACCTGTCATAAATTTGTTACGAAAAATAAGGAATTTGTTACATCAAAGTTGCAAATTCCAAACACATCCAAAAGCATCGCAATGTCGTAGAATCACATATTTCCTGTAGTGTAAATAAAGGTGAAGTTAAGTTCAGATGAGATCTGATTTAGTAAAAGTTCTAACTTTGGACCAAGTGGTTTGAACAAGCAAAACTACTTGAGTGTTTGAATTAGCATGGATCAGTGATAAGAAATGAAAGTACGGATTTTATAATTTCTTTATTTCTAAATAATTATTAATGTTTGAAGAATAATGGATTTTAGTTACAAAATTGCTATCAAAAATATATTTTGTGGTAAAAAGATAATTTATGAATTAAATATTATGAAAAAATGGTGAGTGAAAAACTCCAACAAAAAGAAATGAAAATTGGGTAAGTCAATAAAATAAAAAAAAGGCATAGACAGAGTACCAGTCTAGTTTCAGAACCGCTGGTCCTGTTATCCATTCTAAGGGAATCGTAGTCTGTACTATCTAGGTTCGGCTCTGGTTTCGATTTTGAGTATTTATTTAAAAATATTTTCAATAAAAAAGTAACGGAGCATATATTTGGATTAAGGAGCATATATTTGACTTCAAACTCTTTTCTTGGTAATTAATACTCCCTCGTTCAGGTGGAAACATTGACTCTTTTTGCGTCATTAGGTTGAGAATAGTACGAACAGATGTTACCTTATAATAGAGTCAATAGCATTCAAAAAAATACTCCCTCTGTCCAATAATTATTTTTCCGTTGCGCATTGCAATGTTTGAGTGAAGTTATTTTCAAATCATTTTATTTGAAAAATGATATGAAATTAAAAAATAAAAATTACATAATTAAAAACCACATCTGAAGATCTACAAAACTAGAGACAACATGACTATATTATTGTATTAATTATTAAATAGACAATGAAAATAAGCCAATAATTAAAGTTTAACCTTATGAATAATGAAGTAGAACTGATTTATGAATCATCGGCAAGCATTAAAAACAAGAAAACTAAACGGACCATGCTACATTTACACCAAAAATTGCACCCCATTTGTACACCGCAGTTATACACAAACATTTTGATGGTTTATACCGACACAAATGTTGGTGCGTTAACAAAAACTTACACGGACACAAAGTGTTGCTGCGTTAACAAAAATTAGTTTTACACAAATACAAAATATTGGTGAAAACCTACGGGGTAGAAAAAGTTGGGATAAAAGTAGCTTTATCCAAACTAAACTGGTAAATGCAAAAAAGGAAAAAGAGGATCACCCTCTGGGCCTATGCCGTGCTCGTCGAACACATTTTATTTGTACAAAAATTACTGTATTTTCAAAAGGTATGGAATTTCGCCCGTATTTAATTCAGTGAGAAGACTGAGAGAAGACGGAGGAGTAATGACGACCGGCAACGCCATGTGCCCTCCAATGCTTCCCCATTCATGACAGCGGCACCTCCTCTTCTCTAGTCTTCCCTCATCACCCAATTTTGTCTGGTGATTATTATTACTATAAGTAAACCATCAATTCGCCTGCGTCTTTCCCGTTTCCGGTCACCCGCCTCTCTCTCTCTCTCTCTCTCTCTCTCGCCGCAGTAGCTGCTCAAGAACAGTGCAAGAATGGCAGTGAGTTTTCATTTTTCTTGATGAATTTTCCTTGTTTTGCCCTCTGGGTATTTTGAATTCGAGCTTGATTTGATTCTTGGGTGGTTAATTTGGGAAATGGGAAACCTTGGAAATTGTGTCCCCCCGTGAAAAGTTTTTGATTTGGATCTTCTTGGATGGTTCTGCATTTCTGCTTGTTTTGGAGGTAAATTTGGTGTTAATCAGGGATAATGATCTAACTGATCTCATTAATGGTAAGCTAGGTTGTTTATGGCTTACTACCTCCAACTTCAAGAGCTTAACATTTTGTTGGATCTACTATTACCTCCAACTTCATAAATGGTAACATATACTTGTATAATGTACATCAGCTATAGAGTGTAGGCAGCTCGAGAGGTTGGGGCTAGCAATCCATCTCTTTTTTGTGTGTGTTAAGTAGTTTTAGGGCTTGCGTTGATGTTTACTCTTTTGTGGACTTGGATGTGCTGCCCATTTATGTTGTTTGCATCTCAATCTGCTGTTTGTTTTTAGTTGTTTGCCCATTGCCGATCTTCATGCCAACCCCCTTTGATTTTATTCCTCTTGAACTGAGGGTCTACCAAAAAAATCAGTCTATCCAACCATGGAAGTAAGGTCTACATAAATCCTGCCCTCCCCACACCCCAGTTGGGCAAAATGGGAATACACCGGGTTTGTTTGTTTGTTGTTGTTGTTGTTTATAGAGTATAGACAACCCGAGAACTTAGTTATAATGCACACATTTTGTTGTGGGTGTCGATATATGTCTTTTGGATATTTCCATGTTCTTGTAACCTATTAAAAAAACTATTTGCCAAACACAGTTTCCAATCCCCATGAATTATGCTGGTTAACAAGCGCTGCATGCAAGACTAGAAGAGCGTTTTTCGTAATAGAGTAACATGCTAACACAAAATACTTCTATGCTATCAAGTTACTGAAATCTCCTTGATTTTTATTGCTGACATGTGCCTCGTCCTAATTCCACATGATCTCACAGCATATATTTGATTCAAATTTGTGCAACAGCAGTTGCAATCACCAACTCATGGAGATTGGGAGAGTCTGGGAGTTACTGCAGATACCGGCAATTGGGAAAATGAGGGAAATATTCAAAAGAGTAATAACACGAATCTACTGATTCTTCAAGAAGATCTTTCCAATGCTAAGTTAAGTGACTCCCCTCACCATCAACTCAGCGGTGGCAAACCTGGAAGCAATAAAATTGGTTCAGAAACCCTGAAGAGGCCTGCACCACTAAAGCTAAAACATGTGCGGAAGCTGAGCCGGGAAGAAGGTGATTTTCAAAGAAGTACTGATTCTCCCTCGCGGGTTGAGAACGCCGGAAGAAGAACTCCCTTTGAGTCACCTCGCCATCGTAATGCTGGTGATAATACCCCAAGGAGAGCTTCTCGTCAAGGTGACCGAAGTCTTGAGGTTTCACCACTGCATGCTCATTCCCATCCTCCAAGGCTTGGAGGGGGTGGTGGTAAAGGGGGCATTAGTGGGGTTTCTTCTCCCTCATGGGAAAGAAGAGGTTCATCAGAAGGTGTCCGTGGATTAATAGCTCCTGTAACACCTTCAAGAACTCGGCTTAGACCCGTTATAAAAGGTGACGAAACGGTAAAGTCCTTTCCCATTCTCTCTTTATACATTTTGGATTAGGTATTATTCTGCTCAACATTGAATGCTTTAAGTTATTTAGTATTAGATTGCATCAGATGATTAGCTTATTATTCCCTTATATCCTTTTGCATCCTTGGCCATTGTAGTTCAAAGAGTCATTTTTTGACAATGGTTTAGCTTTGAGTAAATAATGGATTAAATCAAAACGACAGATTAAGTTTCCAGTGTTTCTTACTTTCAATGAAGTTTTGGACAATAAATGCATCAAGGGTTTGATAGAATCAGCCTCTCTGTTTCGGTAAGGCTGCCTACATCTTAACCCCAATTTCAACACCACTTGGGATTTAAGTGGGTTTGTAGTTGTGTCTTAAAGAAGAAAGGCACAACTGTTAACAACACATAATGCTCTTCTTTTTATTTGTACCAGAACACTCAACTTTCTTTTACTGCCTACAACAACAACCTACCCACTAGAATCCCCCAAGTGGGGTTTGGGGATGGGTCCAAGGCTCCAAGCTGACCTTACCCTTACTTATAAGAGGTAGAGATGTTTCTGAATACAACTTTTTGTTCACAACCCCTGTAGATATTTTAAAAAGAACAATTGAATGAGTGACTGATGTAGTGAATAGTGATATCTAATCTGATCTATAACAGCAATTATTGAAATTTACATGTGTGTTTCAAGAAACTTAAGCTATTTTCTACTCTCTCCCTCAAATTGAATCATGTAAGTGTTTCAAGCTTGTTACATCACTCTTTAGTAGAAAGACACAACTAATATGCTCCTTATGTAGTACTAAAAACAGATTAACCTACATTAATATACATTGTGTGTGTGTGTGTTGTCAAACACGAGTCAGTAATAGCTACTTCTAGAAATTTGCCATTGTGATTTGATAAACAAATATACTTATTTTAATAAGTGACTATTAAGGCAAATCAAACTAGCCTTCGAAATATCCACGCCAATCAGTGACCAGAAAGTCATATAGAAAACCTGAAAGCAGTCCTTCTGGTCCTGGGGTTTTTATCAGGGTGCATATCAAACCCCAGCTTTTTAACTTCATCCTCAGAGAATAGATGGTTAAGGGTGTGGAGTTTAGTTGAGGAAGAAATTACTTTCAGTTTCTTGTAAAGAGCAGCCCAGTGCACAAAACCTCCCCATTGAGCGAGTGCCTTAAGGGTCCCGCCATGAGGGTGTGATGTATGCGGACCTTACCTTGCCTTTTTGCAAGAGGCTACTTCCGTTAAACCAATTATAATTTTTAAAAGTATCCCATTCCTTGTCTATTTTGTGAACCAGCTCATACCCCCACAATGGAGGATGTGACTATGTTGCACGTATTTTTCAAACAAGTGCCGCTTCCCATCCCCGAAATGTCCCTGTTTGGGTACTTGGGAATGTCCCGACACTTTGATTCTTTGTAATATTTGGAAAAGTCGGTGCTTCCCCTTTCCCACTTTCCTTTTCTTTTCCTCTCTAACCCAAAGTTGGTGCTAAACAAAATGTTCCATTTTCTTATGTTTCCTATCACTATTGGTTGTTGAATCAAGTATAGTAATGCTGTGTATGGACAACACCACATTAAACCCAGCTGCATTGGGGCTGGTGACATGTGTTGTAGTGTTAAATACATGTTTAAAACTAACCAACATTTTGAATTCATCCTATATATAGCGGATAAAGCTAGAGTAACCCCAACATTTTGGGGTTACCCTAGCACAACTCATAAATAGCATTGTGAAAAAGTTTTGAAAACAGCTATGGAACCCCACATTTGACACCACCTTTGACACCATAGTGTCTCAAAGGCTGTGTGTGTGTGTGTGTGAGACTCTATAGTAAAGTTTTATGCGCGGGATATGTGCTTTAAGTACACGATCAATGATCATATGGTGTGTCATTTTTGTTGCAGCCTGATCACAGCTCCGTTGTTCCAAAGTTTGGTGACTGGGATGAGACGGATCCATCTTCCGCAGACCAGTTCACTCAAGTGTTTGAGAAAGTGCGCGATGAGAAGCAGAACGAAGCTGGGGAAGTACCTGTCAAGACAACCGAATCAACAGACCCAAACAGTGAAAGACACTACAGAAATGAAAATTCCAAGGTATGTAGAACTAACTTTCCCCTACACTATGTTTGGTTCAAGGAATTTGAAAGGGAAAAGAAAAGAAAATGAGATGGAAAACAACTTTTCTTGTTTGGTTAGAGGGGAAAAGAAAAGAAAAGTGGAAGGAAAAGAAAATGAGAAGATATAATGTACGAGGATGGGGGAAAACCAAATTCCTCCCATTTTGGAGAGGAAAATGAGAGAAAAATCATTTTCTTTTATTTTCCTTCTTAATTCCTTGAACCAAACATACTTTTAATAACCCCCCCAAATGGGGTCTATTATCAAAACTTTCGTTTCTCCTAGGGCTGTTCGTGCTTTCCATGGCTTGGAAAGTGACCATGCTTTGAATCGAGGAATGGGAGGAAAGCACGCGACTTACACGAGGCGCTATACTATAGGTTTTTTTTTTGAGATTTGGATCAATTTGTTCTATATATGGTCAATCCAACCAAGTTAAGTATAGTTCTCTCTTGTGGCTTTCCATGAACACACTGGAAGATAAGGTTAAAGAAGAAAGTAAGAGGGTTTTGAGTGACACTCATGTTTTGTTTCTTCATGTCAAGCATTTTGGTATATGAGATATGGTTTCATGTAATTTCTATGCAACACTATAGTACGGAGTATTATTATTATATGTGAAATTTGTCCAAAATAGGACAAAAATGGTTCTATTCCGCGCATTAGCATTAGTTTGTATTACTGCGGTAACTAATTAATTACTCCCTCCGTTTGGAAAAATACTTTCCATTTGATTTGAGGACAAAAATAAGGAAGTGTTAAATTATAGTTGATTTTCAATTTTGCCCATGATGTGATGGGTAAAAGTAAGATGTGATGGATAGATTATTAGAGAAAAAGTATGATGTGATAGGTATGGTATGAAAAAGTAAGGGTAAAGTATTTTTTTAATAGAAAGGGGAAGTGTTTTGTTGGAAGTGGAAAAAAATAAAAGAGGAAGTGTTTTTGAGAACGGAGAAAGTATATAAATATAAATGTATAAAATGGTACAAAAAATGTACCAAAATGTGGAACCCTACCTTCTGGGGTACTCACCTCCCGACCAGGGTGGACCCAGAAGGTTTGGATCAAGGGGTCTTCTTTACGTGAAAAAAGTCATTCCATACTTGTTTTTGTTTAAAATTTCATTTCTGGTTGGAAAGAACATTTCGGGGCTGTTTGGCAACTTCTGAATTGGTGAGTGCTGAACCAGTAAGAGGTCTGAACCATTAAGTGCTGAACCAGTAAGAGGTCTGAACCATTAAGAGCTAGTATATTGCTTAACTATTCAGAGGCAAATGTCTGATCAATTCAGATAAGAGGTCTTAACCATTCAGACTTTGTATAATAATTAACCATTCAGAGGCAAATCTCTTAACCATTCAGACATCTGAACCATTAAGAGGCTGAAACAAACAGTCTGAATCATTAAGTACTGAACCATTCAGACATCTGAATCATTAAGAGGCTGAAACAAACAGCCCCTTCATTTCAAAATCTAATGTCTCTTCTATTTTATCAATATGTTGCTCCAATGGTTGATTTAAAAATGACGAAGCATTTGAATAGAAATTTGGCCAAATCTCACTCGATTCAAATTTTTAAAATTTTGGCGCCTTTTCAAAATACCTTTGCACCCTAAATTTAAATTCAAAATTAAGAAATTTTATAAGCTGACTTTACTTAATACCGGAGTACTAGATTTTGTACCTGCACAGTAAATTTACCAAAAATAAAAATACGCGGGGATCTTTTGATTCCAAGGTCATAATATGACCCGGACCCTTACGATTATACGTTCGTAAAATTAATAGTTCCCACTCTACCTACCCCTAAATCCTACCCCACTACCCCCAACCTGTCCACCCCACCACAACACCCCTCCTTCATTTTGCCGATTGGTTACAATATTACTGTAGCCAATCGGCAAAATGGGGGAGGGGGGGTGCTGTGGCCTGTGGTGGGGTGGGTAGGTAGGGGCAGATGGGTAAGGTTTAGGGGCAGTAACCAATCAATTTTACGAACAGAGCACCGTAGAGGCCTCATGACACGAGGATCGAAGGTCAAAAAAATCAGTTCGTTAAAAATATTTATATATTAATAGCATTTTTAGTGAGAAAATTTGAGAAATGTTAATATGCCACGGACAATTTAAAGGGACTATATTTTTAGAGTAGAATATCTGACTAATATTTTATTAATTATATTAAAAAAATTAAACCTCAACTTACCCTCGTACACTCACAGCTTACAATTGACAATTTCAATGAATAAATCATATTTGATAGTTCTCAAGAATAATCCATAAGTATAATTTATACTCATTCATCTCAGAAAAGAGTGATGCTTATACAAGGGATATTTCATGTGGTTTTCGTGTGTATATTTTCTATTTCGCAAAAGATCACTTTTTTATGCTACAAATACACTAAAGTTCATTAAATGAGTATGAACTTTAGATCTATGGAAGACTTTGTCTTCAAGAAAAATCTTCCTAGTGGACATTTTAGGTCAAATTATACGAGTTTTAACTACAATATGTGAAAAAAGTAAATTTAACAATAATGTAAGTTTAAAATAAGTTTATTTTATGATAAAGTTTTGATAAATCAAACTTTTTTTATTTTTTATTTGAATTTATATTTATAAATAGTCAAAGTCTGCAGATAATTGACTAAAAAAGTCAAAGTCAAACTAAAACGTTTTTTTGGAACGAGAGAGTAAATTTTAGAAGATGGATAAATGGATAATCTCTTTGTCTCATGGTTTTATTCCTAGTTTGCCTTGACATAATTTTTAATAAAGTAAAATACTATATGTGGTTATGAATTGTGTAATGGAAAGAGAAAAAACATGAATCACACAACTAATTTCTTTAAAAGGTAATTAGTTAAAGAAAATTAATTTTGGAACAAACTAAAAAAGAAAGTGAAAAAATAATTATGAGATGGATGAGCATAGCAAGTTAACAACAAAAATTGGGAGGTCGGGTTACTGAGAGTTTAGAGGGACCGGGGTTAAGTAGGACATGAATCACTTTGGAAATTAATGTAGCAGAATATGACTCCTGAAAAGATCGATTTCATCTTACTCCATAATATTGAAGTCTAATGTTAGTGTAAGGAAATAGGAAAATATCAATACATTGATTCTTAATGTTATAATATGACATCAGACACATATTGATTTTGAAAGTGATTTTTAATCTCTCCCTTGTAGCCGAATGACGAAATATAAGAAAATAATAAAAATATAAAAATGATATCTTAGAATATAAGAAACATTTCCTGGGCCACAGCCACAAGTTTGAACTTTTGGTTGAGTTAGTTTCTTGACAGGGTGTTAGAGCCTTCTTGACTAAGAGGTCACGGGTTCGAAACTCAACGCCACCCAATTTTAATAAAATTAAGATATCTCGTGCAAGACTCGAAAAAGACTATGCCTACACGTGAAGGAGCGTGTTAGAATAATACTTATAAGAAATATTATTTTCTAGGCTACAACCACAAATTTAAATTTTTAATTGAGTTTGGTTTCTTTACATGATAGGAGAGAGGGGACCAAAGGGGATTAGTGGGGGGCCATGGGGTAAGAATGGCTTTCGTGCCTAATAAAACACTATAAGTAACCTAAATAGATCAATGTATAATACTTTCTCTGTCCTTGATTGCCATAATTTAACTTTTTTTGTCAAATTGTGATACCCTATGATCGTGAATTATGAAAAAATATACTCCCTCCGTCCCGAAAAACATGAGAGTTTTAATCTTGGAGAGGGATTTAAGGATAGTGTATTTTGGTATTGAATTTCCAAAAATGTCCTTTGATGTGAAGGGTAAAAGTATGATTTGATTGATAAATTATTAGTAAAAGGTATGATGTGATAGGTAGGGTATGAAAAAGTAAGGGGTAAAAGTGACTTTTTAATAGAAATGAGAAGTGTTTTTTGGGACGGATGAAAAAAGAAAGGAGAAAGGTTTTCAGGGACGGAGGAAGTATTTAGTTATAATCCAAACTTAATAAAATTGGATTTATTTTAAGATATAATTTTAAAATATCAAATATTTATAATATTTTATCATTAATTTAACTTCAAAGTCAAAATTAACTTGAGGGTGCAATTGAAGAGGGTAGGTGGATGTGTTCAGGTTGGGGCGGGGTGAGGGATTTACCGAAGGGTTAGATGGAATATGAACCTTCAATTTTACAAACGGGGTATCGGAGCACCCGGGTCATCCCCTGAACCAAGCCCATTGATCAAACATTAAATGAATGTGACATTGTATTAATTGGAAGCACATTATTCTATAAAGAATCTGAAGCGTCGGGTGGAGTTGAACGGTCGAAATGCCCTGGCTCCATTTTATATTTCAAGCGTTCGGATTAATTCTCTTCATCACTCAACAAGTAACACTAGGTAAATATCTGAGGTAAAAACTCTCATCTACTGTAATATTCTAATTTATGGAATCTCCAAGTTCAGTAAGTTTTTCTAATTGCAGTAATTCTCCGCAATTTTTTCCATGCTCTCAGTTTCCATAATGATGTTTGATGATATGCTATTTAAAATTTACTGACTTTATTCATTCATCATTTTATTCACTTTTTTTCGTTCAATTCAAACCCACAACTCTGATTTAGATAATGAGAGAACTACTTAACTAATGGAAAAAAGAGCACCATTTACCCCAGAATTTTTCAGAAATTTCATGGTTTACCTCTAAATATTTAAAATTGCATTGTTTATTCTTGAACTATTTAGAAATTGCATGGTTTACCTCTGAACATTTAAAAATGCACTTAATACATATGAGCCATTTTAAACATTGCACTGTTAGTCCTAAAATATTACACCATTAGTCCTATTATACTACATTTAAAGATGCACTAAATACCCCCAAACTCTTCGGATGGCTTGCATATTATCTATCCAAGTATTCTCTACTCGAAATCATGTAAGTGTGCAATATTTTAAGTTGTTCAGAAGTGTTTGGTGCACTTTTTAATATTTAGGGGTAAACCGTGCATTTTCTGGAGAGCTTGGAGGTAAACGGTGCAATTTTAAATATTTAGAGGTAAACTTTGCAATTTTTGAAGAATTCAGGGGTAAATGGTGCACATTTCTCTTAACTAATGTTAAAACATGTTACATATATACTTGAATGACTTTCTAAAGTCCTTCAGTATAAATTTAGTCTTTTAATTAATTCGTAAATTTTTTTAATACATAATTTACTATAAAAGAAAATGAGAAGTTTTTTTAGGACGTGAAGAAGACGAAGCCAATGATCTCAAAATGGAGAGTAGCAATGGAAGGAAATCAGGTCCCGCAAAAACGGAGGCGAAGTGCGAAGAAGAGAAGAAGAATGGGAAGAAAGCGGAGAAGGGCAATGCGTGCGAGCTAAATGGACCGTGGCTGGTGCTCGCAATGCCGTCTAAACTGAAATGCATGGCGTCCAGATACTGCATTTGTCACGACGACGAAGAAGACATCATTGTGTCCGACATGGAAGATTGGGAGTTCATTGATAGTCCCTCCGTCCCCCATAGATCTTCTCATTAGTCCTTTTTATTTGTCCACCATAGATCTTCTCATTACCTTTTTTAACACTCAAAATACCACAACTATCTCCACTTACTTTATTTATTACATCTCACCTAAGCCATTGAAAAAATGTCACTCTCTCCCGCGCGCCGTGTCATTTTTTGTTCTCACATTAATTATTTAATTGAGTTTTAAACATCTATTGAGGTAATCCGTTCAAGCATGATATGTTATGAGATTGCGAGTTTATTGAGGGTCACTCAAGACAATATCTGAGTTGTTTTAGTATTAGAGAATCACCAATGGAAAAGAAAGCAATGGAGAACAAGATGATACATAAAGGACAAGTGATCAATAGAAGGGCTTGATTGAACAAAAATAAATAATGCAAGGACAAAATTGATTTGATTTTTAGTATAATGACTAATTTAAATTTTTTTAGATAGTATAAAGACTTGCACGGTACTTTGTCCTGTGAGGAAGTCTGTGAGGAAGAGGTATTTATAAACAAAAGATGAGTACAAATTTCCCGCACTAACACAATTACTAAAAAAACTTATAAGTCGTGGGTGGACTCAATTATGATCATATACATTACCAAAAATATTATGAAATGTTCATATATACAGTGTCATATTATCAAAATATGAATTACTATTCTATAGATAAAAATATAGAGTTTTTATTTTAGTAATTTTTCTAATTTTTTACTCTTATTTAGGGTGATTTTTTCAAAAAATTTGGATAGTCTTTCAATTATCTGACTCAAAAGATTTAAATAATTATTCCTTAAACTATGTTTGGTTCAAGAAAATTTGAAAAAAAGAAGAAAAGAAAATGGTTTTCTCTCATTTTCCTTCCCAAAATGAGAGAAATTTGGTTTTCCCTCTACTTGGTACATTTTGTCTTTTTATTTTCTTTCTCTTCTACTTTTTCATTTTTTCCCCTCTAACTAAACGAGAAAAAAATTGCTTTCCATCTCATTTTCTTTTCTTTTTTCTTTTAAATTTCTTGAACCAAACATAGTGTTACTGTTTTGAACTAAGGCCTTCTTGAATCTCAAGTCGACCGCCATGACCTGGATAAGGCAATCCATGTCCTAGAAGTCTACTATCCACTCTCGAGCTTGGCGAGTCCATAGAATGTACTTCAAAGTATACATTATAACTATGCACTGATATTTAAATAGTTCAGACTTATACAATATGCTAGGGTGATCGAAAAATCTGGTACTAGTATTTTGTGTCTATGTGAATCATTACTCTAACATTCATGTAGCGTATGATATAATTTTTAGAGTACAAGTAGTTTAATTCTTCTAATTTATCATGAATGAGCTTCAATCTTGATTTCTAAAGTATTCTTTTATGGGTCAAATTAAAGAAAAAACTAATTAAGTTTCAAACTAAAATTAATGAAGTGGCAACAATTATTATTTTTTACTAACGAATTTTTTTGATCAAAGTAATCAAACTAAAATTATTGAAGTTAAAAAAAAGGAAAAATTCATATTAATACTCTAATAAATTTGTGAATTTTTATACTATTCTGAAATTAAATAATTTACACCACTGCTCCCATAAGTTACTCAATTTTACACCAATATTCTAGGCTGCCAACTAAGTTAGATATGTGACATTTTAAACAATGACTTGATACTTATTAAGTATATAAGTTGATAATCAATTACAAAATAAAGAAAATACCTTGAATAGTGTTTGAAATTAAAAAATTAGAGAATTTTAAAATTCATATAGTCCAGAATTTATTTTTTAAAGATCTTTCCGGCGAATATAAATTTGATAATGAAATATGTACTTTAAAATTCTTTATTTTGTCTAAAACATTATTTTCGTTTATTTTTTATCTTAGCAACACATACATAATAGTTTACATTCATCATTTAAAATGTACGTATTCTGCTTACTTTGCAGCCCTGTGTATTGTTTTGTCATTGTGTTTGGTTCTTTAAAAAAAGTGATTTTGGAATTTGGAGTTTGTACCTTCATTTTTATCCCCTCCTTTCCGTGAGTCTCTCCTTCATTTCAAAACTGATGGCGGGATTTTCGAATATACTCGTACCGGGCAGGCTGAAGCTGTGGAAAGGAGAGTGGAATTGAACAAAGATTTTGCAGGGAATTCGTAAGAATACAACTGGAGAACGCGAAGGGAAATGGCGGACCAAACCCTTGTTACATCTTCTTCCCCCCCTCTCGATCTCGATTCACTGCGCAGGTCTCTCTTAATACCTAGATAAACTCATACGAAATCATTTTTTAGTTTTTTTTGGGTTTATATTGATTTCTTAGACCATTACAGTCGAATATTGGAGCTTAGAGATCTGTTGAAAAACTCCGATGAAGCTCCGGATCTTTCCTCTTCAGATTCGGAGCAATTTCTAAACGATTGTGCTCTTCACCTCGAGGTTTGTTATTGGGAATAGCGTGAATACCACGCATAATGCTCTTATATACTATACATATCTCAAATTCAATTGGTGGATATATTGTTAGATTATGGTTTTACTTTTGTCTCCGCATGTTGAATTGTTGATTTTTTTTTTGAATTCATATTGCAGAGCAAATTTAATCAAATATTATCTGATACATCAGATATAGACCTCTTAGCTGATAGAGATTTAGGTAAAAGGCTGTGTCTCTCAGTCTCTCCGCATCCTTAATGTGTGTGTGGGAAATTATGTCTGATTTGTTGGTATTGCCACTGTGATTTATAATTGCAGATGAACTTGTGGGAGATTTAAAGAATGAGCTAAGCTCTTTGGAGAGTGAAAATGAAAAAGTGTCAATGGAAATCGAGGAATTTTCGAGAAGATATGTGGAAGGTGTTGTAACAGCTTATGCATGAGTTCCTTACTCCCATGGATTCTTATATGTCTAAATTGTTTTTTGTTGTGTTTTTAGAATCTGGAAAGTTGGAAGGTGAAATCGAAGGCTTACATTGTTCGTTGGACCTTTTGGAATCACAGGTTCTTTCATTCTATATTTAATACTTATAGTACAAAATGGTCTACACTTCGATATGTCTTGCAAAGAAGAGAATTTAGGAAAGATGAAGATTTTCCCTGACATTTTTTACCATTCTTCTCCCTCCTTCCCGTGCCAGAAGGCACTCTTGCCATTTTGATTGTCCCAACCAAAAGACGCTCTCTTAAATTCGACACAACTAATTTATCTTTTCAATCACTTATCTGTTTAATCACTTTTTTCTATCTTTTCAGTAACTTTTACACTCTCTTTCTTACTTTTTCAATCACTTTTACACACTCTCTTACCTTTTCAATCACGTTTACACTCTCTTTCTTATTTCAACCTATTCACCCTAGATTTTAAATCACTTCTAAATTTAACCTTATTCCTCCCAAAAAGCAAGAGTGCCTTTTGGGGTGGGACGGAGAGAGTATTATTCTTAACATGCCATCTGTTGTTTCAATGTTTCTTATATATGTATACTTCAATGGTAGATTCTATACCACAATGTATTTTATATGTATAATTCAATGGTAGATTCCATTTCTTTTCTTTTTTATGTGTAATTCAATGGTAGATTCTATGCCATATTGTCTTTCTGAATGTGTTGTCTTAGAGTATGAAGCAGGGGAATTGCCATGCTTTTTGCTCTACAGAAGGAGAAGATCAAGTGAACTTAATAAGCACACATGAAGGATTTAATTTTCAGGTTTACTTTATATCCAAATTTGAGTTGCACTTTAGAAAGTGTCAAGTGAGGAATTTATTAGTTGGAGTATTTAACGTGAGAGAACATATAGAGAGAGACTGAAGTAATAAGAATGCTCTTGCTGAATGAATATGTGATTTTGTCTTGAAGATTTCAAACCTTAGCAATCAACTTGAGAAGAGCAAAACAAATTTGAAGACATTGGAAGATCTTGAGGGTGCTTTCAAGAGGTAATCATATAACAGGGCGTGCTTTTATGTTTGGTCTTGCTTTTGCATGTTGTTTGAAACATTTTTCCACCTATTCAGGTTAGAAGCTACAGAAATACTCAAGGATGCAATTAGTGGTCTGCGAGTAACTGAATCTGAAGGCGATCACATCAGGTTATGTCTAAGAACATACATCCCTAACATTCGTAGCTTAATGCTTCTGGAACAGTTTGAGGATTCTTGTGGGCTATTAGATCAAGACCATGAATTGGTAATAGAATTAATGGAGGGTACGATGGAGGTCAAGCATGCTGAGGTATAGATCTATCAAATGATTGATAACTATAATAAGGACTCTCAGGCTTATCACAGTTGATCTGCATTTCTCATTTATGGTATTCTGAGTAGACATGGTATTTGAATCTAAGCTAAGTACCTCAAAAGTGTTCAACTTCCCAACTGTGAATTATGGCATAATAATGGAAAATGGATCTTAAAAAATATTTACCTGATTGAATAATAAATACTCCCTCCATCCCACAAAAAAATTACTTTATGGGTTATGATGTTTGATTGAAGTTCATTTTAATTCATTTTATTTAAAATTTGGTATAAAATTAAAGTAAAAGTTACTTATTTAAAAACTACATCAAATGTTCTACAAAACACGAGGTGACTTGACTATTATATGTTAACTAATGATCGATGAAATTGTGTAAAATAAGAGGATATGGTTTTGATCCTGTGAGTATCAAGTGTGAAGATCTGTTAAAAATTTAAGGGACGAAGGGAATATATTTAAACTTCTGTTGCTGCTAGTTCGTTGTTTAGATTCTTCTCTGTAGATGAAAGCAGTCCTTAAGTTCCTACCTAGTGATGCTATTTCATTTACTTGCATGAAATGACTTAATTTGTTATACAACGTATGAAGATAAATTTAATACTCCCTCTGTCCCAAATTAATCATCCTACTTTCCTTTTTAGTCTGTCCCAAAATGATTGTCCTACTTTTTTTACTTACCTAATAAAGTAAAGAATATGTGGTCTACAATCTTTCTCTTGACTCTAAACAAATTTCAATCACTAACCTTTTACTTTTAACACTTTTCTTTAACTCCGTGAAGCCAAACTAGGTCGACGAATTCAGGACAGAGGGAGTACTTTTTTTTAAAACGTTACAAAACAAATTGCAACGGAAGCATATTATCATTCTTTCATTCTCATCCAGCTAATATAGTTGGTGAATGAAAAGAGAATTAGTTAAAGGAGGTTTTAATTGAGGATTTTGAAAGGGCACGTCCTAATAACTTTGAAGACACTGTTAATGGCAGCAGTTTGATCTTCCTATGGTCCTGTCATATTGTTATTCTTGATGATTTAAACATTGTTATTCTACATCTGAGGAAGAGCCATCCTATATTAAGAGAGGAAATTCATAATAGCAAAAAAGCTTATAACCTCTGAAATATAGACACTTATAAAAATAGGAGAAAATTCAAAGACATACATGTGTTGGACATGCCACTGGTGTGCCATTGACATACAGCCAATGGTATTGGGCACTAAGATATACTATGTATAATGGAATTGGTGGGGATACATAACGGTGAAAATAAAAATGTTAAGTCTAACTTTTCTGATTTTATCCAAAATCAGTTCTTGAGTTCTCTGCTCTCAGATGTTTGAAAACAACGAGTTAAGTTTGAGTAAATGTACTACATCCTGATTTGTTGTCATTTTTTGTATTAAATGAACATAAGTGAAAAGCTGCTCAATGTTTCTGCAATTAGATTATTGTTCTTGAATTTCTGGTATAATATTGATGTTCCCTTTGCTCTTTTCTAAATGAGACTTGTTAGTACAATATACATATAAGCAAATAAAAATTGCAGTTCCCTTTGCTTTTTTCTATAGTGTAACATTAACTTCATGTGTTGCAATCTACTCAGATAATCCCCAATGATGTACATATAAGCGAAATTGTTGATGCTGCAAAATCTCTCAGGTTTGCCTCTTTCAATTTTTGTTCCATCGTATTCCATTTTCATAGGGTACTTTTGGGAGGTAAATGCAGAATACATCAAGGGTCTAACAGAAATGGTCTCTCTAACATGGTAATGTTGTGTACATTTTGACCCCCAGAATGCAAAGTACTTGGAAATATACTTGGTTTGTTTTGTTGTTGTTGTTGTTGTTGTATACAACTTCTTGATTGTTTCTGTACTTGTTGGCAAAACTTGTTCAGTTGTTCTATCCTGTCTAGTTGGTATCCATATTTACCACACTCTTGGCATGTATAAATATAAATCAGGGTATGGGAGGAATAGTTTATTCATCTAGATGCCAGTTTGGATAAAAAGAGAACATGGCTCTTAGTATTTTTAGTTTTTACTAAAGGGATTGGAAATTAAACTTAGGTTCCAATTTAAGATTTTGAGTTAAAGATGGGTAGCTTTGGCTCTGAAATAACTTATGCTCTCTTTATGTCTCAATTTATTCAAATAGCTTTTGAATTTAAAGTCATAAAAAAATCTTTATTTGGTTCCATCTGAGCTTAGTCAGTGAACAGTGGCTTATAACAATTTGTTGAGTGTTTTTATTTTAAACCTGTAGGGGTATCCCTCCTACATGGAGGAAGGAGTTCCTAAACAATACATTTAATGTTAAAAATGTAATTTGTTTAGAGGTGGAGTAGTATAATAATAATAATAATATTTATTATTATTATTATTATAAAAGAAAAAAAAAGGAAAGGGAATAGTCAAAGTGGGAATGCCACTTTATTGTAAAGGCAAAAGCCTTTTGGCTACTTGACACGGGCAGTAGGTCACGGACAGAATTGAGTAGCCGAACAGCGCAGAAACAGAGAGAAAAAAAAGAGGGTGAAGCCGAGAGAAGGAAGAAGAGAGAAAAAGAGAGGTGCAGCCTGGTTTTGTGCTCCGATCGATGACTAAACGAGCTCCGATCGGGATGAAATTTTAGTATGTTGTTCCTGAGATCCTCTTCTTCATATCCAACGGTGGGATTGTTGTTTTGACCTCTCGATGTCGGTAAAATCGCCTCTGTTTACTGCTGCATTTTTATTGGGGTTTTCTCACTTTTGAGTGAAGATTATTGTTGTTTGGTGTTCCAAGTTATTACTTGATGATTGTGTGTACCTCTAATTGATTTAGAGAGGATTCTTGGTGTACCCACTGATTTTTCTTGGTGATTAGTTGAAGGCTTCGTGGTTTTTTCCCCGATTTGGGGTTTCCACGTTAAATCTTGGTGTTCGTTTATCGCTTGATTGGTTGTTTGTTGTTGTGTTTGCTATTCTTGATCGGTCATATGATTTTGCCCATTTTGACAACACAAAGACGGGAAAATTATTTATTGCTTCCGCTAGAAAATTGAGGTGATTTTCCCAACAATTGGTATTAGAGCTTGAGTTATATTTTTTGGTGATTTTCTTGTGTTGTTAAAATGGAGGATAAAGTTGTTTTTGGGGGAATGATTAAATTGAACTCCTCCAATTATCAAAGTTGGAAACCCAGGATGGAAGATATTTTATATTTTGCATGAACCGATCTTGAATAAGGAGATGCCAAGCGGTAAACAAGAAAATACTTGGAAATTGCTTAATCGGAAAACTGTGGGAATGATTAGGCAATTTATTGATGATAGTGTGTTTCAGCATGTTGCTAATGATACCAACGCCTATGAACTGTGGGAGAAACTCAAATGCATGTATGAGAGAGAAAATGCCCTGAATAAAGCCTCTATTATGAGAAGACTTGTGAAACTTGATTACAGGGATGGGCATAGTGTGGTAGAGCATTTGAATGATTTTCAGGGATTGATTAACCAGTTGTCTTCAATGAAATTGGTTTTAGATGATGAATTGCAGGCGTTGTTGCTCCTCAGCTCGTTGCCAGAAAGCTGGGAGACCTTGGTTGTATCACTTAGCAACTCTGCTCCAGAGGGTAAGCTCACAATGGATGTTGTGAAGTCGAGTCTGCTGAATGAAGAAGCTAGGAGAAGAGATCTGAGTTCCTCCAGCTATTCAGATCAGGCTCATGTTGCTGAGGTAGAGGGTCGTGGAAGACACAGACATAGAGAGTTTGAATCCAGGGGGAGATCTAAATCAAGAAGCGAAGTGAAATGCTTCTATTGTGATAAACCGGGTCATAAGATATCTCAGTGCAGAAAGATGAAGCGAGATAAAGCCCAGCAGAAAGAGGAAAATGGTCAAACTTCTGAGAAGAAAGAGGAGAAAGACACAGCAGCCCTTGTAGATGCAGATGATTTATTCTTTGTGTGCGATGACACTAACTTTGATGTTGCTTTTCAGGATTGCACTTGGATTATTGATTCGGGTGCCTCATGTCATCTCACACCTCATCGGGAGTTCTTCTCATCTTACACTAGCGGTGATTTTGGCTATGTAAAGATGGGAAAGGGTGACAAATCATCTAAGATTATTGGGATGGGCACTGTTTGTTTGAAGACTAACACTGGTTGCAGGTTGACCCTTAGAGATGTCAGACATGTTCCAGAGTTTCAGTACAACCTCATTTCAGCCGGAGGACTTGACGGAGATGGCTATGTTAGCCGCCTTGGTGAAGGAAAGTGGAAGCTCACCAAAGGTTCTTTGATCGTGGCCCAAGGTAAGAAAGAGAACAGACTTTACGTGATGCAAGCAAAGATGTGTAGAGGAGATCAGAACACTGCGCCCTCCACGGATTTATCGCACGAGAGGCTTGGTCACATGCTTGAGAGTTGTCAGAATATCCTCCCTGAAGGTGATATTCCTTCTCTTTCCATACATTCAGATCATGTGGGAGAAGAAGGAGAAAAATGTTGTGGTGATGATGTTGCTCGTGATGGTGATGTACTTGAGCCACCTCATCCCGAGCATGGAGTTCCGTCACAGAGGGTTCCTCAAATTGGTATATTTGAGAGAGATTGCTACCGGGAAGAAGTGAAAAAGGTGCACCGACGAGAGTGGGTTCAAGCCAAGCGAGATGGGGTTATATCCTTGCTTGATGGACATGGTCTTTCCCTGGTAAAGTTGCATGGAAGCAAGCGAGCACCCAAGAGCAATCGGGTGTTCAAGTTGAAGAGAAGAGAGCGTTGCTCACAACCTACGGACTTGGCGCAGTTGGTTGTGAAAGGTTTGTATGATATTTATCATCATTAAGTTTTACCCCGCATGTAGGAGTGAGGGGGAGATTTGTAGGGGTATCCCTCCTACATGGAGGAAGGAGTTCCTAAACAATACATTTAATGTTAAAAATGTAATTTGTTTAGAGGTGGAGTAGTATAATAATAATAATAATATTTATTATTATTATTATTATTATAAAAGAAAAAAAAGAAAAGGGAATAGTCAAAGTGGGAATGCCACTTTATTGTAAAGGCAAAAGCCTTTTGGCTATTTGACACGGGCAGTAGGCCACGGACAGAATTGATTAGCCGAACAGCGCAGAAATAGAGAGAGAAAAAAAAGAGGGTGAAGCCGAGAGAAGGAAGAAGAGAGGAAAAGAGAGGTGCAGCCTGGTTTTGTGCTCCGATCGACGACTAAACGAACTCCGATCGGGATGAAATTTTAGTATGTTGTTCCTGAGATCCTCTTCTTCATATCCAACGGTGGGATTGTTGTTTTGACCTCTCGATGTCGGTAAAATCGCCTCTGTTTGCTGTCTCGTTTTTATTGGGGTTTTCTCACTTTTGAGTGAAGATTATTGTTGTTTGGTGTTCCAAGTTATTACTTGATGATTGTGTGTACCTCTAATTGATTTAGAGAGGATTCTTGGTGTACCCACTGATTTTTCTTGGTGATTAGTGGAAGGCTTCGTGGTTTTTTCCCCGATTTGGGGTTTCCACGTTAAATCTTGGTGTTCGTTTATCGCTTGATTGGTTGTTTGTTGTTGTGTTTGCTATTCTTGATCGGTCATATGATTTTGCCCATTTTGACAACACAAAGACGGGAAAATTATTTATTGCTTCCGCTAGAAAATTGAGGTGATTTTCCCAACAAAACCGTATGCTTGGGAAATGAGTTCAGATGCATGGCAATAACTTGCTTTACTGGTGAAAATGAAACATGGCGAAAGAAAAAAAAGAAAACATAAACCAAGCATATAGTTGGACAAAAATAAGAGGATGCAGGAATGCATCATGCTCTTAAGAATATTGTTTGTACCCATACTGATATGGTTTCTTAGACTAGATGCATTCTCATGTTTTGGGTCACAGAACCCTGTATGTGTTTACAACATATGACTCCCTGCTGAACCCACTCAATGGATCAATGCATTTTCTTTTTTTGTTACTTAATGGTATTTACTACAGTTTGTAGTTCGTTATCTTGTGCTCGCTTGCTTTATCTTCATGATGACATAGTACTGCTTCCAGGAAGCTTTACTCACCAATGTTATGGTACGAACCCAGAGCGGATCTGAAATGGTTCGTCACAAGAGTACACGACCGAATCATCCTTTCCAAATTAAGACAGCTTCTTGTGAAAAATGCCAATACTTCAAGGTTAGTCCTTTCTCAGTACTTGATTTGTTGTACTGTCTGAAGTCTATGTCTAGCACACACTGTAGTAGGTTTTTCGTCTTTAGTTTTGGATTACGCTCTTCTTTTTTCTTTATTTGGGTGGAACAATTAAGAGTTATGAAGACAAACTTTGCATTCCAATTTGTTAGCCTTATGGCATATAAAATTGGAAAGAGCCTGATACTTTTCATCTTCATGTTGAATCAGTTTTGATGACTAGATCAACCATTGTTCCCTTTCTCAAGTTTTGAGTACTCGATAATTTCTTTATATCTCCGATTGATACGAGTGCTCCTCTTCAATTATATTCATTCTTGAAATGCAGACACTCATTTGAGTACTTGGACATAGATGAGAGCATTGTAGCTCACTTGGTTTGTGGAGTGGATGCTTTCATAAAGGTGCCCCAAGGATGGCCAATATACACGGCTGTATTAAACATTTCTTCTCTTAAGAGCTCAAGCCATTTCTCGAAAGATATTTCATCCAGCCTTCTCTGCAAAGTTATGGTAGGTTGTCTTTGGCTTAGATCCCATATACTTTACCATGGTTGCACTGCTTTAGAAGCTTTGGTCGCAAAAATGCACTTCCCTTGCAGTTTAACACATTGGTCACATTCAACTTGATTGGGACACTTTTTTTTAATCAAAACATTTAATTTAATGAAAAATAGCTTCTTTTGTTCAAATACTACTCGTTTTTGGGAGAAATATATTTTGAAACAACTCTTTTTTTGTATATCAGATTAGTTTTATACTCAATGCAATGCTCCTTTTTTCTTGTGCCAAAATGTTAATGTTTTGTATTGATCATCTCGCGCAATTTGCTAATGAAAAGAGAAATGTCAAGTTCATAATTTACTAAAAATGTGCTCTTTTGTTTGTGCCAGGACATGACAAACGCATTGGACCCACTGTCACGTCAGTCTATTACTGACATTGCAGATCGAGTGGATGAAATGCTTATGAAACACGTTAGGTAGTGTTTGGGAACTTAGGTTAATTTGAATTCTTGGACTTCTAATCTAAAATTTGAGTTCTTTTTGTCAATGAGTTTTTTTGGGAACTAGAAGAATTTGGTCTGTATTTAGAACCAATTTTTGTTGGATCCCCAAACATGTAATTTGAGTCAAATTTGGATTTGAAATCCAAATTCAAGATGTAATATGAGTCAAATTTGGATTTGAAAATCAAATCAAAGTTTCGCCCATTAAAAAATATGATGTGTTCGCCCGGGTGGTGACTGATAAACTAGTGAAGGGATCAGTTGACGCAGATACAAGAAAGACATAATAGGGAAACCATTTTTAGTTTAGGACATAGTGTTGTCTACTTTCTTTAAAATCACTTTTATTTGAATTACTTTGTTGTCTTGAGAGGTTTTTGTGCTATGGAGTACTCCCTTCGTCCTTAATTAAATCGTTTGTTTTAGTGACAGAAATTATTTTCAACTTAATTTATTTCATAATTGGGGGGATTAAAATTTACATATTTAAAAATTGTATAAAACTCAACTAAACAAGAAGTGACAAAACTATTATTTTTATCAAATAAGTATTAAAAACAGGTGTTCATTCACCTAGACAGGATGCAGATAGGGTGCCGAGAGAGGTTTAGGGGAGGAGCCTTGGGTCAAGAGGGGTTTTGTTTGCTTACATTAGGCCAATTAAAGATATGTACAACTGGGCAAGGTCAATGGTAATGATTGTTGGGGTGACCCTAAGCCTTTCCCTGTAGAGGTGGGATTACATCAAGGGTTTGTCCTAAGCCCATTCTTGTTTGCTCTTGTGATGGATATCTTGACATGGGGAGCTCCTGTGGTGCATGTTTTTTGCTGATGATATTGTGCTTATTGATGACACATGCGATGGACTAAGTGATAAGTTAGAATTCTGACACCTTTCACTACAATCCAAATGATTTAAGCTGATTAAAATAAAGACTGAAAACTTGGAATGTGTTTTTAGTGGTTGGGTGATGGAATCAGAAGCGAAAGTAATGATTGAGTCTCACCTAATGCTCAAGATAGACAAGTTTTGGTATCTTGACTTGGTTATTCAGGTGGATGGGATTTTATAAGGAGATGTCGCGCATCGTGTTGGAGAACCTTGGGCTAAGTGGAAGTTGGCTTAAGGGGTGCTATGCGATAAGAGATTTCGACTGTGATGAAAGGTAAATTCTATCAGTTAGACCAGCTTTGCTATATGGAGCAGATTGCTGGCCAGTTAAGAAAACCGATATTTGCAAGTTGTATACAGCTGAAACACAGGTGTGACGTTGGGTGAACAGTCAAACGAGGATTGATAGGATTTGGAACGAGGTTATACAAGGACAGGTGGGAGTGACACCTGTGGAAGATAAGCTCTAAGAAGTTATGTTGAGGTGGTTTGGACATGTGAGACAACGGAGTGCTAACACTCTAGTGCGGAGATACGCGAGGCTTACGTTGGTAGATGGGAGTAAGGAAAGTGGTAGACCTAAAAAAATTGAAAAGAGGTGATTAGATAGGACCTAGGAGTTCTGCTGATAAGGCTTAGATGATAGTGTTTGGAAAGCTAGAATTAAGATAGTTGGGTAGGTGATGGTGCATTCTTTATTGTATGCTTAGTGTTCTCTACTTGTGTTTTCTTTCATTAACTTTAGTTTGCTCTATGTCTTTGTGCTTTGTGGTCTCTTTACTCTATGTGCCTCTGTGATATTTTATTACTAGTGTTTCATGAGCTGGAGGACTTTTAGAAACAGTTTTTCAACTTTCGAGTAGAAGTAAGGTCTTATACACACACCCTTCCTATACCTTATAATCGTGGGATACAATTGGGTTGTTTTTATATCGAAATTATGTAAAGAAAGTGATTGAAGTTTGACATTATGAATAGTAAATATGCAATTAAATTTTAACGAAGGGATACTTTGTAAGATTGTTTAAGCAATCTTTTCCTTTTAAATTGAGTTTTGGAAAATTAATCAAAAGTAGCCTTAGGACCTGGTAACTTTGGGAGATATGATATGAGTTTTAATTTTTGAAATCTGAGGAAAATAATATTTGTTCTGATATTTGAAATAAAGTTGGGAAAGATTTGAAATCAAAATTCAATTAATGATTTACGATGGTGGCTGACAAGGTATAGTTTGGAGAAACTAAAAAAGAATTCAAATCATATTATTCAATTGGTGAAGAATTAAAAAATAAAAATTTGAAATTCATATTAAAAAAAATTAAACTAAATCAAAAGCTCTATTAAACAAAAGATGACATGCTTATATTAGTTTATCAAATAAGTGATGAAAATATGGGAAAAAATGAATAAAGTTGGAGTTGTGAATAGTAAACATACAATTTAATTTGTGAGAGTGAGAGCAAACAACAGATAATTTAGTTTGGGATTAAGGCTCCGTTCCGTTCAACTTATTTTTCTGATCTGATCTGATTTGTTGTAATTCTGATCTGATCTTATTGGATCTGATCTGATCTGATTGAATCTGATCTAATCTAATCCGATCTCATTAATTATGATTTGATTTAGAATTAAAATCAATAAATTGATCTGGCTCTATAATAACTTTTGAAAATTGTAATGATAATTCATATTACAATATAATCAATATTTTTAATTTGATGATTATTTTTTAATGAAATAAAATTAGTTAATTCATATATTAGAATAATCATTCGTATTATAATGTAATAATAATTTTTATTTTATGATTATTTTTTATGAAATAAGAATATTGATTTATTGTTTTAATAATTAGTTCATATATACATTAGAATAAATATTTAATTCATATATACATTAAAAAGTAATTATTTTTCTGCATGAAGAGATAATATTTTTATTAAAATATCTCATCCTTATAAAATATCAATGTTAAGCAAAGAAATAATACATTTTTCTGCATCTTGTATAATAATTAAGCATTACTTTATCAATTTTCTTTTTAACTTGTTTCTAAAGTTTATTTTTTACATTTTTAAGAATTTTTTTTGCTTCATATCATTTTATTTTTCTCTACATAAATTATAATCGCACAAAAGTTTCATTTTCTTTCTTCTTATATTTTTTCAAGAAAATTTAAATTTATTTTTTGAAAAAACCGTATCAAGTGAAACAAGTAAAAAGTATGGAATTTAAAAAGTATGAAGTAATAACGATATTGATAATGATAATGATGATAATAATAATAAGAAATCCTAATAATAATAGTAATAATAGTAATAATAATAATAATAATAATAATAATAATAATACTCCCTCCGTCCCCCATAGATCTTCTCATTAACCCTTTTTATTTGTCCACCATAGATCTTCCCATTACCTTTTTTAATACTTAAAATACCACAACTACCCCCACTTACTTTATTAAAAAAGGTAAACTTAAAATACACTCCACTCATTTTCATTAAGGGTATTATGGTAAACTTTGACCTTTTTTCAACTCTCCTAAAAAATCGCAAAAAGTCAAAACGAGAAGATCTTAGGGGGACGGAGGGAGTAATAATAATAATAATAATAATAATTCTTGATTAGATCTAATGAGATCTGATCTGATTTGATTTTATTAAGAATAAGAATAAAGTGAGGAACCCATTTTTATTAGAATTAATTATTTTCGGAACCAACCACACTTGTACTTAAAAAAGTGGGGATGGGAAATAGCGGACAAAAGAAAGCACTCCATTGAATATCCAATTTCACATTTTTCTAAACTGTGTTTCTAGATTTTATCCTCTAAGAATCACGAAAATCTCATCTAGTGCCTAAACTGTCCTCATAATTCTCTTCTCTTTCCTGGTTAATCTTCATCGTCGGATCTCATCTATCCCCAATCCAAGACCACAATCAAACCCTCAAAGGTCAGTCTTTGCAAATTTTCTTGATTCTCTGCATACTGAAATTCAAGAACAGATTAACACTACTTTATAGATTCAAAGTCCCCGAATCCATGGTTTTTTTTGTAAAGTTCATATTTTGGGGTTTGTTTGAGATTTAAACGAGCAGATAGTTTACAGTAGTGGTTGATAACTTTTGGGTGGAGGGGAGGTTTTGGGAGTTGACGATGCTGCCCCAGCCAAGAAGAAAGAAATGGAGTGAGGCAGAGGAAAGAACTCTGATTGATAAGTATGGTGATATGTTATGTGATGGGACATTAGCTAAGATGAAAACTAGGGAGAAGAAGTATATACCCATTGCGTTGCACGTGAATTCGGTGCACCATTTGCGTGATCCGGTTGCCTATCCGTGGCAGTGGACCTGGAAGGATGTTTCCACAAAGGTGCAGAACATGAGGCACCAGTATGCTCTTGTGAAGCAGAAGATCAAGAAGGAAGGGGATGGTGAGGAGTTTGATTGGGGGGAGGGGCTCGCGCATTGGTCGAATTTTCTTAGGTACGATGCGGTGTTTGGGGACGTGGTGGTTGGTGGAGAACCGGTGACGGTTGTTGGGGATGCGATTGAAAATAGCGGGGGATTCGATGACGGTATCGAGCTCGTGCAATTTGGGCATTTGAGTCATTCTGGGGATTTTGGAGGGGGTATCGATGGGGTTGAGAATGATGGTTTGGGGCTAGGGTTTGATTACGACGGGGAAGGAGTGGAGAACTATAATAATACTAATAATGGTAATGATCATAGCAACAAAAGTAGCAATCCTCCTTTGGATGATGGGGAAAATGATGATGGAGGGTTTGTTTACGAAGATATCGAGCCAATTGGGTCCGATACGAGGAAGAAAAGGAAAGCATTGAAGGCATGGGGGTTTCTTTCCACCCAATTGGCTCAGCTAAAGGAAATGGAGACCCGGTACGAGCAGCGTGAGGTCGAGAGAGAGCGTGAGAGGCAGAGGAGAGAGAGTGCTCGCATGGAAATGGAAAAGAGACGCGAGAGGAAGCGGGAGGAGAGGGAGCGCGAGAGGGAGAAGAGGCTCGAGGAAATGCGGAGAAAAATGCTTCAAGAGTGGGAAACAATGGAGAAAGAGAGCGAAGAGAGAGAGAGGCGAAGGCTAGAGGAAGCGTCCATGTTGGAAAGGGAAAGGGAGGAGAGAATGGGTAGGAGGAGGTCGGAGTCGAAGAAGAGGATTGACGAGATGGTGAGCCACCACAGAGGGGAGATGAATCAGATTCAGAGCCGCGCGCTCCATGAGCAGCAGAGCCTTACGGGCCACCTGCTCGGAGTTCTGGCCCGTTGGACCGGGCACCCGACCGCGCTGCCCGATGACCACGCCGGGGCAACCAATCACTATCTTTCGCAGATGATAGTCAACGATATGATGCACGGAGATGCACCGGTGGAGGGAGACCATCAAGAAGAAGAAGATCACTTCATAGTTGATGGGTAATGAACATGAGATGAGAGGTCATTCATTCTTTCCTTAACTATGTTGTAGTAGTACTAGATAAGTGGGTACTAATTATAATTAATTAACTAATAAATGATCTTGATTCATGTAATTAGATTGTGGAGGCACAAATGGAATTAATATGTAATCTATTTTGGATCATTAATAGACACTTCATGTCTTCATGAGTTCATAAATTGTGTTCTTTGTTTGTAAAAGATTGAAATTTTATGTGGTAAACAGAAGGACACATCAGACTTTTTCCTTCTTATTTTTTTTTTTGAAATGAAATTTTGGATATTAAATGCAGCTGTGTTAGATCATCATATAAGACTGCCATTTGTTTGGGAGGTAAATTTTTTGGTATGCTCAAATGAATAAAATTTTAAAAGTAAATACTTCCCTCTCAAACTATGGGCACCGTTGGAAATAACAAAAATGCGAGAAGGGGTTCAAATCTGGATCTGAACCATGCGCGGTAATCTAAGCATTTTTTTTTTAGAAATGCTCCTATGTAAATTCACGAGCCTACTTGGGGTATGTAATTTACGAGCCAAATTGTAATTTAAGTATCATTCCTATGTAATTTAATTGTCATTTAATTAACATTTTTGAGAAAGGACTATTTAAAAAAAATATTTCAATTACAAAGGACCATGTTAGTAATTGTTGCTTATTGAGAACAAATTTGGAAAGATCGTTTTGAGTATTTTACTCTTACATTAAGACACACTAATATTTTAAAAAAACAGGCTCTATATAAACAAAATTCAATTTTTTTATAATTTTATATCAAAATAAAACTTATATCTCAAAGTGTGTTAATATATAATATCATGTCTGCATGGGCAGCTCAGTTGGTCGAGAACGTGAAATCTTGGACCGATGACCAGGGATCGAGTCCTTTAAGCGGCAGTGTGGGAACTATCCAAAAATCGCATAAAAGGTAAGGAGGCTCTTGTGCGCGGTGGGCACGGATCTGGCGTTCTTGGCCAACTGAGTCACCATGATTTATCTCCTCAACTATCTTTGTCGGGCCAAAACATAGCGCTTGTCCATAATTGTGCCAAAAAAAAAGGAGCTGCGTCTGCCGGGAGTCGAACCCGGGTCTATTGCTTGGAAGGCAATTATCCTAACCGTTGGACTACAGACGCTACTTGTCATCTTGAAGGTTTAACCTTAACTATTTATTTAAATTTCTTTAAACTTAGTTAACTTCAGCAAACGGGTAATCCGTCAATGAGAGTGCTGTGCATAGCCTGATCGATAGCCGCTTGTTATGATAAGTTTAACAAATTATCGACTGATCCATATTACCACCCCCTCCCAAAATTACTTTCTCGTTTAAACTTATTATGGAGATTAAAAAAAATTAGGAAATCTAAAAACTTTATATGTGTTATTTTTTATATGAGAAAATAAAGTAAATAGTGTAGATAAAAATTGGAGGTATAATGAAACATTCTATAACTTTTTTTGGCCAAAATAAAAAAGAAGAAAGATATTTTTGAACAGTCCAAAAAAAGAAGTGAGAAAAAAAATGAACGGAAAGGAGTGGTGCATGTACATTACGGAGTATTAGTTTAATTAATAATCTCACTTTTCCGCACATGTGCGAGTTTTGGATCGTTGTTAAGAAGCTAACATGCCAATTCACGAAACTTTTGGAAAATGTCTATTTTTTATAAATAAATGAAAGGTGTGATTATTTTATGTAAATTCATGTTTTTTGTTTTTAATTTAAAATTTATTATTTAAAAAATAAATACAACTACACATACACTATTGTTAGAGATTTGTATCAATTTTTTAAAATATTACGATCTAAAAATTTGGTATTCTGTCTTAGGGGTAAATATAATAGTGGATTATCGACAAATAATTCAGAGTTCGTACCGCTCAGAAAAGAAATTGAAATACAAAAAACTTGTAGTTAGTTATAAGAATACTCAATGTCTTTTTGTTGTGCCACTTTCACAACTTTTGAATTATTATTTTGTGGAAAAAAATTTGTACTGAATTATTGAAAAAAATCGTAAGGTTTGTAGCACCATTTTGGAAAAAATAATACGAGTAATAGATGATTATTATCGACAAACTATTTGGAGTGTTGTTCATGAAAAAAATTGGTATACAAAAAATGAGTGAGTTATAAAAATAATAGTTCCATTTTGGGAGAATAAATTATTCTGTCATTTTTACTATTATAAAAATGATAATAGTATAGTATCAAAAAACAATTCGAAGTTCTGCTCAAGAAAATAATTACACGTACAATTCACAAAATAATGTAGCGAGTTATGGAGAAAATAAATTAGTTCCATTTTGTAAAATAATTTATTACTATGCCATTTCATTACTTTTGTAATATTATTTTGGAAATAATAATTATTATCAGATTATCCATTTTTAAATAATAATAGTAAGTGTCACTCTGGAGAAAAATACTTAAATTCGATATTGTTTATTAAAAAAATTTCAAAAAAATTAAAAAATGAAAAAAAGAGAATTGATCAAAAATAGTCTCACCTTTTATTTATTTGTGAAAAATAAGTATTTTCTAAAGGGTAATTTACCTAAATAGGATTAAAACGGAATGACTTTCTCAAAATAGGACCATATGTTTTTATTTCTAATGTAGGACCGTTATTCATTATTTATTAGTCATTATTCAACGAAATGTTCAGCATCACTTGGACATTATTTTTCTCATTAGTCATTATTAAGTGTTGTTTAGGGAATAAAAAAGTTCAAGTTCTACATTGAGAAATGACTTATGTTTTAGTCTTATTCAGTGCAAATTTCACTTTTCTAAAGGTACTATTAAGTAACCGTTAACATTTTAATGGTGATCCAAAACACATGCACATGAAGAAAGATGGAATTATTTTCTGTGACAATGAAAAGTGAGATTATTTTTGGAAGAATGTGGAAAAGTAGAATTATTTGAGATAATTTTTCCTAATAGATATTGAGAAGTTAAATAGTGTCAAAGAATAATTATATATGACAAATTTTTATGTGGTCCTCATGTTAATACTTGTTTTATGGACCTTAAACTTTACCATAACTTAAGATCTTTATCTATGACGTTTCTATGACATTATTTTAGAAATGTTTTGAACTACATAATAACCGACAATACGTCCACCCAATTCAAAATTTTTATGTGTAAATATAATCTTATGAAGGACATTGTACGAATGTACATTCCTATTGTCCCATAAAATATTTCAACCTTTTTGTTTGTGCACCCTATAAAATATTTCTGTTCACCTAAAAATTTCGTGAATACACTTCACTTCACCTTATTGTAAGTAAAAATTGTTTTAGAGATATTTTTGACATTTTAGGTAGAATAAAAATATCAAATGGAACACGTGACTAAAGAGGGATGACAACAATGTTTTTTGAGTTGGTGTGATAGCACTACTGTAACAATACTCATTTACATTGGTCAAATAAAAACGTTTTTGCATCGATTTTTTATCGATGCAAATAAAAGCGATCCAATTGCTCTATAACAATTGCATATGTTATTACAACCGATGCAAACAAACTGTTTACATTATTTGAAGTAAGAGTTTTAAATCAACATTATCATTACAACGTTATTTGGAAAATATACATGAGTTTTAGAACAACATTACAAATACACAATTATTAAATTTTTTACTACTTATTCTTAATCTTAATATTAACGAGAAATGCACAGTAATAATTACATTTCATGTTTAAGCAATAAAATAATTCTTTGTAAGATAATTAAATCTAATGATATCATATTTTTATTATTATAAAATTACTATAATTTTAAATGATATTCAAAGCTTATTAAATTGGAGGAAAAGAACCCATTGAATACTCTCACTGTCCCACATAGAGATAAAAAAAAGGAAGTATCCAATGGCCATGAAAGCAATATAATGGCCAAATGGACGATAGGTGGATAAAAGGCACGTAAAGATAACTACTTCTAATATGTAAATTGATCGAGACGAAATAAAAAGCCCCTATAGCTCAGTGGTAGAGCGCCAGTCTTGTAAACTGGAGGTCTGTAGTTCGATCCTGCATGGGGGCATTTCAAATTTTCTTCAATTTCTCTCTTATTATCTACCACTTTTGTTTTTTTCTCTCGAGAAATACCTCTTTTGTTGATAATTTTGAGGAATCAGTGTTCTTAATCTTTTATTTTGTAGGTTTCCGTCATTAATTATCCAACAGTGACAGTTTCATTTCCATTCTTTATTTTTAGTTATTTATTGATTTGTTTATTTATAACTTTTGTACTTTGTGCAAAAAATGACAATGATTTGCATGAACAACTTTTAAAAACCTTTGTGTTTTCATCAAAGTGAAGACCAGTGTAATTAGCGTCACACACGGGGTTGATGCTATACCCTTTCAGTTCAATTGGAGCACTTGTAGCTACTAAAGAACAAGAATGAGATTAATTTGAAAATAACATAATTATTTGAGTTTAATGGGGGATCTACATGATTTATGATATACTCCGTATAATGCAGGGCCCTTAATCTTAAACAATTCTTTTAAACAATGCAATTATGGGACTTACAGTGCTCCGTTCGTAAAATTGATTGTTCGTGCTCCTCTAATCCCTCGACAAACCCCTACATCTCGGTCCGGCCCTCACTTACCCTCCGCCCCTTCCAATTGCACAAGTTTTCATATTTTTGACTTTATGGTCGAATATTTGACCAAAATTAAAGGTGGTGCAATTGGAAGGGGTGCGGGGGTACGTTAGGGTTAGGCTAAGATATATATGTAGGGATTTGCCGGGGTTAGGGGAGTTGAAAAAATGTGAATGTTTATCAAAACATCCTTAATGAGGATGTGTTGAGTACATAAAATGAGATGGGTGGAGTACATAAAATGAGATGAGTGAGGTATAATAAATAAAGTTAGGTAAGAGTAGTTATGTTATTTTAAATGTCAAAAGAACTTATGAAAAGATCTATGAATAACAAAAAAAAAACTAATGAGAAGATTTATTAAGGACATGAGTAATAAATAAATAAGAAATATCTTGTGAATAATGAATTTGGATGATTAATTTGGGACTTGGAGAGATTATTTTTTATTATGTTGGTTGACTTTTACAAATTGCAATTAATATTTGTGCTGTTGGTTTGATTTGATAATGGTTTTGAACAAAATTAAATGCTCTAGTTGTTGGTTGGTTGGTGTTGTTATTGCATTTGCCTTGTAGTTGTAATTGCTAGTGTTGGTGTATGTTATTGGTGTTGTAGTTCATAGAGTGAAACTTTTTGTTATAGTTGTGTTAGTGGTGTTGCATTGGTTGTGGTCGTGTTGTTGGGTAGTCAATAAAAATTAAGAAAAAATTAAAACCACATTAAAAATTGAACCGAATCAGTTACTTAGTTCAACTCAATAGTATATATATATGGGATTGACTCCAGTGAGATGACACCTTACGGTGCGATGACATGCTTCGGTCAGATGACGCAAAGCTCACCACTGTCCACTGCAAAGCTCACCAAACACAACTACAAAGCTCACCAAACTGTAAGGCAAAGCTCACCATATTTTTTTCAACACTTTTGAATTTTTTTTTAAAAAATAAAATCAATGGAAGGGGTGATGACTAGACTTTGACCGTTGACTCCAGCATTGACCACCGCCTGCCTCCGCCAGTCGCCGGTCGCCGGCCATCGCGTGTCACCGCCGCCGTTGACCGGTGTTGTTATTTTATTTTTAATTAATTTTTTAATTTTCAAAATTAAAAAAAAGGTGAGTTTTGGGGTTCAAAGTGATAAGCTTTGCTTTATTTCTAGGTGAGCTTTGAATTGTCCATTGGTGAGCTTTGTAATGTAGTGTGGTGAGCTTTGCGTCATCTGACCGAAGCATGTCATCTCACCGTAATGTGTAAGGTATCATGTCACTGGAGTCAATCCCTATATATATATATATATATATATATATATATATATATATATATATATATATATATATATATATATATATATATATATATATATCAATTATTTCGGTCAGATGACGCGCACACACACACATACCAATTATTTCTCTCACTTTTTTGATGTGGGAAATATATAGTGAAATTTTTTGTTATAATTGTGTTAGTGATGTTGTTGCATTGGTTGTGGTCGTGTTGTTGGGTATTCAACAAAAATTTGAAAAAATTAGAACCACATTAAAAATTAAATCAAATCAGTTACTTAGTTCAACTGAATATTATATATATACAAATTATTTCCGTCACTTTTTCGATCTAGGAAACATACAGTTAATTTTTTTTGTTATAATTGTGTTTGTGTTGTTAGTGTAGACGCTAATCAAACGTTAGATGTTTTACAGCATCTGATTAGGTCCAATTGCAAACACAATAAAAATACTCCCTCCGTCCAACTAAGATCTTCCCATTACGCGTTACGAAGCTTGACTGACTTTATTTTCAATTCAATTTAATTGATTATAGGAGTAAAATTTTAAAATAAAATTTATATGGTAATTAACTACCTGAAAAGTTCTACAAAAATAGAAGTGACAAAACTATATTATTTTATGAAATGACTAGTAAAATAAGCAAACAAAGAGAGTAAAGTTTGACCATGTCAATAATGTCTGGAAAGATCTATGGTGGGCAGAAAAAGTACATAATAGGAGTCACCGTAGTTATTGGTTTACAGCATAGCTATGTGATTTTAACTAGAACAATGATAGGGCCACAAACAAAACCATTACAAATTTTATAGACTTACCATTTCAGATTTAAATTCTCATTTTAAAATCATTTTAGACTACTTTGTATTTTACTGAAGTTCAAAAATAATTTGTTAAATTTGTGACAATTTTATTTGTGAACCAAACATTTCTCTTTTAATTAGTATTGTTGTAAACTTTATAGGCCAGCTAGTTGAGATTCTGCTGACCTTATATTTGTTCTTTTATTTACTAAAGTTTTACTGTCATTGAAAAAAATCGAACCAGACAAATACAATATAACTATATTACTCCCTCCATCCCATTTTACAACGCCTGTTTCGATTTACGATATTTGACTAAAATTATTTTCATACCATTTTATATGACAAATGGTATGGAATTAAAAAATAAAAATTACTCCGGGATACATATTAGAAAACTACATCAAAAAATCTACAAAACTAGTAGTGACAATAATATTTTATTTTATCAAATTGTTAACGAAAATAAAAAAGAAAGTGAATGAAGTTTGACCCTGTAAATAGTAAACAGACATTATAATTTGGGACGGAGGGAGTAAAATAATGCAAAGAGATTAGAGATGAGTGATGTCCGTATTAGAGGATGTTTATGATTGTATTTATAACCATGCTAGGGGTACCCAAGGATTGTACTCCAAAGTGTACATCAAAGCTATGCATTAACATTTTGATGATTCATATTAGCACAATAAGCTAGTACGATCAAAAGAATTTTCATGTACATTTTGTACTTGTGTGAACCATGACACTAATTTCACGCTAGCACAAAATGAAAGGAATAGCTGTGGTATACAATTTGGGGCACAACTTTTGGGGTATAAGTAGCTTAATTCTTGTGTTTAATAACTGCTTTTGGAATTCTGCTTTGTGAAAATACAATTTTAAGAGAACAAAAAACTCAAGAAAAATCAGGCCATGAAAAAATCTCATGTGAATGAGTGTGCTGGAGCAAAATTTGATATACAGTTAAATACTATATGCACATACACTGACTCCCTATGGTTACACAATCTCTCAAGTGAGATCAATGAACCAGATGCTATGTTGAGATCCAAGTTTTTAACAAAAAACACCAAAAAGTGAGATCAATCGGTCTTACCGCATCCATCTCCTCATTTTCATGGAAATTATTTTCCTCCTCTTATTAGCTTTACTCTTGGCTGCAATTCTCAACTTCCTCTTGGCGCTTCGCATTGGATTCGCAACTGCCATAACTTTCTCCTCTTGTTTCCGTTTGTCCCTCTTTGCCTTGAGATTTTTCCTTATTTGGCTGTAAACTTGCACGAAAGTCTGTGTTCCCAAAACATTTTGAATGCTTTTACAAACCTCTTGAGCCAACTGCTTCACATCATCTGGAGAAACATTTTTCAATGTGACTTTTGCAAGAAACCAAAACGTGATCGATTTTCTAATCACTGTCCGAAGAGTTGGGTTTTTACCTGAAATTACTTTCCCAGCTTGTCCTTCACAAAGTTTATATAGTGGTAGCAGCATCTGATAAGCATAGCTCTGGCAGTCAACTTCGCCTTCGGAGGTCATTACCCTTGAAACATCAACAAGTTTTGTGGAAATTGCCTTGAAACAGTTCAGCACAATTTTTGCCTGCCAATACGATATACGATAACTACATAAGTGTGTGGTAAAACCAAAACTTTTATAATAAAAAAAAAGAAGCAAATATGTGTGCTAAGGAATTTAAGAGACTGGGAAGAGCACTAATCAGATAGGGATTTTAAAATAAACAAAACATATTACTGCAATAAATTGATATATTTTCAAATTTTCACCAACCTGCACTGCCTCCATCTGAATAGGAATCTTCCCCATCCTCTTGAGCAGACTAGAAATTATCATATTGCCTTGGTACTCAGCTTTATGTACATCGTCGTATTGAGCATTAGGACCAAAGTTGAAAGATGTAAAGATGTATCTTCCCTTCTTTGGATCAAGCAAATTAAAAGCTTTTACTAAGAGGCTTTGCTCATCAGGTCCAAAGGCAGAACCATTTCCGGGATGTTTGGAGGCTACTAGTAATCCATGTATACCACAAATGGCAAACACAAGATTTTGTGAGATCACAGATCCAGCATCATTGTCAACAGACTGCACATTCAGTTGAGAAATAAGAGAAACAGCAATGTGGAACAGTCTACTTGGTCTCATTAAGAAGAACGACTCTAGCACTTTTTTTTCTTTGCAATCCTCCGCAACTCTAGCGAAGTAAAAAGCTATAAGGCGACGTGATATGCTTTGCACCCATATGTGCGGATATAGAAGAAAGTCACATATTTTCTCCCACAAGTCCTGACAAATCACACAAAAAAGGAAAGATATGAATAAAAAACAATTAATGCCAAAATAAGATAGTTATACATTAAGTGATATCCCTCCGTCCCAAATAATAATGTGTGGTCGAGATTTTTTGCAGAGGATAGAGAAGCGTTGGGAACAAAATAATACTTTCGAAAACTCAAAACATGCACAATATATAGGGATGGACCAAAAGGGGAAACATGCACAACAACTCGGGACGAAGGGAGTAGAGAATTTAGAAGTGACACTTGGACTAAATCTTTCAAAAAGATTATACATAATCTATTACCTAGCTCAATTCGAGATCTTATAAACCTATTTTTTATTTAATATTCCGTTGTGGACCTCTAACAGAAATAAGAGTAATTTATATGTAGAATGAATAGTCTGACGAATTCAGAAAGGTAAAAGGAGAGAATGCTTTGATACCTCAAGCTCCTTTGTGAAGCACAGTGCAATAAATTGATGTAAAATCTTCTCTAACAAAACCAACGAATAATATACTTCTTTCCAAAGGGAAATTACATCCTCCGAGATGCCTAGCTGTTTATCGGTAAGAACTTCTGATGCAGATTGCAAGATATTTCTCATCACAGGTAAAACTTGAGCAACATACTCCTGAAAACTGTTCCCCATCACTTCCACCAATAACCCCAAAACCTGAAGAGCACAAAATAAGTAAGATATGTACAACATTTATTTTTTTTTAAATGGTCGCACACTCCCACCTACATCAATGTCACAATCCTAAAATGGATTCCATTTTCTTTTCATTATTATTTTCCTCATGATAAGTAAAGAAACGGGATAACAAGAACAATACGAAGTAGCATGGAATTATAATATATACTGGAAGTAGTTTACATGGTTGTTACATCAACAAGTCAAGTTAAGTCACCCGCAACAGACTAGTCTAAAATTAGTCAATCAGTGTAATACTTTTTTCTAACACAAAACTTAGTAGCAGAAATAGTAAAATAAAATAATAACAGGTGTTAAAACAAAATTTAGTTGCAGAAGTAATATAATAAAATAAGATAAAAATCTAATAGTAAATAGAAATATTAAAAAAACTGTCCTAAAGAAATGTTAAAACTGAAAACAAAATTGGAAGATAGGAAAGAGTATTTAAAAAAAGAGTATTTCCATTCTATGTAGTACATAATTACTTGTATCTAATTACAGAGTAAAAAAACAAAAAGAAACAAAGAAAAACTCATCCCTTTGCCCACGCCCACACTCATTCAAAAAGGTAAAAGAAAAGAGAAAATTAAAGAAAATAAAAATCAAAAGAAACAAAGTACGAGAAGTTAAAAGGAAACAAAACTAAGAAAGACTAAAGCTTACCCTAAAAAAACAAAAAAAAGGACAGCAGCCACACTCATTTAAAAAAAGAGTATTTCAATTCTATGTAGTACATAATTACTTGTATTTTATTACAGAGTAAAAAAACAAAAAGAAACGAAGAAAGACTCATCCCTTTGCCCACACCCACACTCATTCAAAAAGGTAAAAGAAAAGAGAAAATTAAAGAAAATAAAAATCAAAAGAAACAAAGTATGGGAAGTTAAAAGGAAACAAAACTAAGAAAGACTAAAGCTTATCCTAAAAAACAAGAAAAAAGGACAGCAGCGGCGAACAACGGCAACGGCAGCACATCTATTTCCCTCTGGAAGCAGAGGTGACGGATCCATGTCACGAAGGTGGCAATACGCTGGGATTTCAGATATGAAATCAGGCAGCCATAGCTCAGATCTGGCAACGTGATGTGTTGTCATCCAGTTGCAAGTTGCCGCTGCCGGTCATCCCTTCATAGCGACCCGGCGCATGATCAATGGGTGGTATATGGCGTAACAAACATGGTAGCTTGGTAGACCGTAACACAGTGCAATGTGATCAATAAAATGTATAAATTTACATTAGACATTCATTTGATTACATTTCATTATGTCTTACAAAACCACACAATAGTTCAGTAACACATCATCCTAGATTAAAAGTTGTCAGGTAACAATCAAATAAGCTAGTGCATCAGCAGTCGTATATAAGAAACAAACATTCATTTCTTATATACTCCTTTGGTCTCCTTTTATCTGTCCTAGTTGGTACTCCTTTTGTAGAACTTTTAATGTAGTTCTTAAATAAATAAATTTTATGATTTTAATTCTAAATTGATTTTCAAAAAAATTGAACTTAAAATAATTTCAACCAAATATCACAAACCGTAGGTGGGACCTTAATTTGAGACAGAGGGAGTATTCATTAGTCAATTGTACTGTCTTTCATAGCCTGCTTTCCTAAATATTTTTTATACTCCTAATTAAAATAGTCATTTCACTACTTGTCCAGAGTTTGATGCAGTCTTTAAATGCTAATAATATTTAAACATTACAAAAATAAAATTGAACAATTATTCAGTCAGCAGGGCACATATAGTGGGAGGAGAGAGCATTAAAATTACATTTACCACTGAAGCTTTGAGAGAGAGAGAGAGGACTTATACAAATACCCAAAGACTTAACCAGAATAAGGCAAAGAACAATAACAACAAGTCAATAACGACCCAGTAAAATCTAACGAATGGGGTCGGGGGGAAATGCAAACCTTACCCAAACCTACAAAAGCATAAATTATAATTGGAGGTATGATTATTAAAAAAGAAAATGGCATGCACCCAATCCACGCAATATCGACACAACACCTACTGACAAAGTGTCGCAACCACGTATTACCTGTGCTGCAGAACTCCACAAATGCTGCTTCTCAACTACATACCAAGAAAAACAATTCTCAAGTATGGATTTAAGCGAATGAGAGTTCACACGGCCTGCAAGCAGCTTTATGGCAGCACCAGCCATGGATCTGACTTTGTTATCTTGGTCATTAGCCAAGCATATCACCAGATGCATAAAAATAGTATGAACCTGCTCATCTATCCTAGTGGGAAATTTCATTATGATTACATGAAGCATTTCAAGAACAGCTCCTCTACCAGATGAATGTTCATATCTGCCAAGAATTAACTCAAATTAAACAGCCAATAGATACAGACATACAAAACATGAAATTAATGTGTATTTTATCTAATCTTGCCTCAGATTTGCAAGTAAAGAATCAAGGTGTTGTTGAAAGCGTTTCTTTGAAATCTCATAGCGAAGTAAGAATTGAAGAAGAATCTGACTGCACTTCTTGCGAATTGAATCAACCTGACTTGTTACCATCAACTCTGCAACCCTCTTGACAAAGTCATATATTTCAGGAGCCACCAACTTTCGGATAATTATAGCTTTCAACAACGAGAGGGCCAAAAATGAAGGATTTCTTTCAAGATCAACAAAAAAAGGAAATTGAACAAGTGATTGGAGTTGCGTTGTGGAAAGACTCATTGTGGTCATACGCAGAAGCAGTGTTAACAATTTGATGCATGATTCCATCAATGGAGTACTGGCATTTGTTGAACCTTGAGCAATATCCAACAATGAATTTTTAATCCGGTCAGCTTCATTTTCAAGGGATGGCAAAGGTAGCCTTACTATTGAATATAGGGATTTTAGTGATGCAAATATGATATTCTCATATTTTGAACTTAAACAATCCCCTAATAGCCTTACAAAAGGGTCTAGCATTGATAATAACTTTTCATCCCCTTTGTCTAATTTCATGTTTTTCAGGTAGTTCTGCAACACCCCAAGTGCAAACTCTGTAATCATATGGGAGCATTGCCGATGAACATTGACCAATCTATTTGAAGCAGTGTTTTCGTGACTCAATGCATCTTTATCTTGTAGGCTTTCATCTAAGATGGTCATATCTTCACGAAAAAGATGTTCATCCATTATGCCATCTTTGATGAGACCATATGCAAACACAAAGAGTTCCTTCTCATTCACTGATGGATTGCATTGTATACCATCTTCTATATGATTCAGCATGTTCTCCAATTTTGATTTCTCTTTTGGAGTCAACTGCTTTTGTAGATGTACAGTAACAGGCGAAAGAAGCTTTAAGGCATGGGTTTTGAAAGTGATGCTCTGTGCAATCAACTTGAGTGTCTCATAGGACTTCTGCTTTCTAGTCTCTTTCATTTTTGAAGCAATCTTCTCCACTTCTTTCTCTTCAGCAACATCTCCAAGAATATCATTTTCAGCAACAGAAAGAAGATCTTCCAGACAATAGTCCAAGTTTAGACTAGCATGGTTTAGAAGAAATTTTGTCAATATAAAATTCAGTGTGTATCCCAAAACATGCAATTCGAATCCTCTTTTCAGAGTGCCCCGCAAGACTTTAATGATAAATTGCATGTATTCCAATCCCAGCTCCTTCAAGCAAGCTGCCAAGGCAAATCTAGCTTCATCACGCACACTCTCTAAACGATTCTTAAGGAAGTTGGAGATGCGATGTATGATACTTGGAAGTTGCAATTCCATATTGTCACGAGGCAGTAATTTCAGCACCTTGATGGCCACTAAACTTATAGTTACATTCACATGTTCAGAATCGCACATCAAGAACTTTTGTACCCTGGGAAGCACATCTTTCTGAAGGCAAGTCTGAATTTTAGAAGTATCAACAAATCCAGGAAAGGTTGCTGGCAATTTAGATGGTTCTTTACTGGTGCCAGGATTTGGAATATTCTCTGTAGAACCTTTAATTTCACAAACAAAATTTGCTTCTGAAAAATGGAATTGGTCAAGTATGGAACATATAAGCCGCATTAACATCTTCTGTTTGTCAGGTTGTAGAGTCATCTTATGAAAGCATCTCAAAAGTAATCCATAGTATGCCTTCCAGTCCATCCACTTTGAAACTGATGCAAGAGCATTTATGCATGTACTTCTGATATTTTCACCATTCCCTTTTTGTAAATCTAATAGCATATTGAAAATGAGAGGAACAAAAACTCTCTCAATAATACCCTGCAACAGTGTTTTACGGCATAATTTTAGATTCCTGGATGAGGCAAAAGTCAATTCAAACTGAGAATAATTAGTGTACAAAAACTGGGTTGATACCTTAGAGAAACTCCTGGAACTGACTACATTGCCAAAACGAGATAGAGCCTTAGCCCTTCTGGACCTCTGCACAAAAAAAATATGAGGACATAAAATTAAGCGTAAAAAAATTACATGCCATAATCTTCATCCATAATCAGATATAAAAGAAGCAATGGCTTCCTTTGTGATTCAAGAGTGAGATGGGGGTGGGTGGGGGAAGGAGGGCATCAAACTTCACACTGAAACACAAAAGATCCACCATTTATATTTGGTAAACAATGAATGTTTTTCTCATGCATCAACTTAGGGATGAGGTAGATTACACTAATCAACAAAAACAAAGTATTATCCGACTAGGTAGATTACACGAATCATTAGCAAAAAAAATTACCAATAAATAAGCCAATGAAACTAATGAGTGAGAGAGGGTGTGAGTGTGTGTGAGTGTGTGCACATGGTGCATGCTTGCATTTTCAGATTACATGCAACATCTTATCACAGATACTTCTGAAAAGACATACTAGAGATATGGTTCAAAGTAACTTGAATGGCCTACCTGTAAATGAACAATGTTGTTGAAAAAATCCTGTTCGGGATCTTCACTGCACAGAACAGAACATGTATTGAATTCTGTCATCTTATGAAGCTTCAACACCATTTCACGCAGTAGATCAATCCATGACTGACAACAGCACAAAAATATCAGAAGCAACCTTTATTCCTGATAATTGGGACTCCCAATTATCTAGCTGATAAAATGCATTTGTCACTTAAAGATAGAAGCATTAAGTTCCAGTCGCCACTGCAACTAATCAACTAGGAAATATGGAGTAAAATACAAAAGGAGATAAATAAGAAAGACAAGTTGATGCAAAAAGTTAACCTAAAACTATTAAATGCATACCTTTCTAACTGGGCCCTCTTTGTTCATTGCATTTCCCATGTGCTTCAAAAGAAAGGTGCTTGCAATGTGCATAACCCAAGGTCCAGAATACCCATGGTTGGGTTTCACTTCAAGTTCAAGAATTTGACCAGAAAATACAATGAAAGATGATAACACTCTAAATGCACTCTGCCTGAGAATCAACTCTTCGGATGACATGTCGCGTACAGAATTTGACAAAATCATCAATGCATGTTCTTCCTCAACATTGTGGAAAAAATCTACATTCAACTGACCATAAGCAGCAATTATGGTATCATATTCAAGATCACCCATTTCGGAGGCAGAACTTGCATTCAGCTCACGGAGCAGTTTTGCCTGCACGGGTGAGCATACGAGTTTGGTACTCAAAAGAAAAACCATTCTCAAATGGGTAAAAAAAATATACAAGCCATGACAAGTCAAAACTACATTAATGGAAAATTCAAAAGGGGAAATATACCAGAAAGGGTAAAGATGAATCTTTTCCAGCAAGAGCATCAAGAACATCACAAACAGAACTCCTGATATCTGGACCACCAGATATAAGAAGTGGAGACACTGATTTGAGAATATTTTTAACACTTTTATTCTCTATTGGTCTTACTACATGCCTAAGAATCTGCAGCGTGTCCACGCATATATCTGCAAAAGAAATCCCTATAATAACAAGAACTGATAGTAACAATAATAGTAGTAACAGTGGTAGTGGTAGTAGTAGTAGTACTAATAATAATAAATAAATAAATAATTAAATAATATCAAGAGAAGAAAATGAACTCAATAAAAATCTCACCAGAAGTATGAGATTTCTTTGATAAAAGTGGAAGCAAAACATCAACAAATTTCTTTGCGGCTAAAGGATCATCTATGTACTTTGATAACAGCTTGAAAACATTCAGTTCATTTCTTGCTGGATATGTAGTGAGTTTCCTGGTACAGCAAGAAAGTTAACTAAAATAAGAGCAAACACATTTAACACATCAAGCTTAAAATGTTGAGTTCATTTCCCTTAGACCTGGCAAAACAGATATAGAACCGATTATCTGAACTGAATAACCCGAAACCAAGTCCAAAAAGAACCAGAAACTAAAAATCCAATCTATAACAAAAAAACCGAGACAATCCAAAGGAAACGGAATCGAACTAAATATATTCAAAGCCGGGTTAGATCAGAAACTGATTAATACCGAACAAATTACACCAATCCTAATCAGAACCAAAAATCAATCAGAATCGAAACCAAACAGATCCAAAACCGACCAAACCCAACACTAAATCAAGTCATGACTCACTGGTAATACATTAACTATAGGAATTCTGGAAGGAACAATACATCTAATCAACACAAATTATTCTACCATTTTTCGCTAGACATTTTTTGCTTTCGTTCACTCTTGATGACATTCAAGTAAACATGCTTATAATTAGAGAGATCCCTCCAATTGCGTACAAATATTTTATCTAAATACTTGGAGAACACACACACACACACACACATATATACATACATACATACATACATATATAGGGATTGACTCCAGTGAGATGACACCATACGGTGAGATGACATGCTTCGGTGAGATGACACCAAGCTCACCACACTACACTACAAAGCTCACCAATGGACGATGCAAAGCTCACCTGGAAATAAAGCAAAGCTCACCACTTTGAAGGCCAAAACTCGCTTTTTTTTAAATTTGAAAATTAAAAAATTAAATACAAATAAAATAGCAACACCGATCAACCACCGGTCGGCGGCAGCGGCCGGCGGCAGAGTAGCAGCGGCGGCCGGCGGCGGAGCAGCGGCTGTGCCAACGGCGGCAGGTGGCGGTCAACGGTCAAAATCTAGTAAGCACCCCTTTGATTTTATTTTTTCAAAAAAAAATCAAAGTCTTGAAAAGATACGGTGAGCTTTGCCTTACAGTTTGGTGAGCTTTGTAGTTGTCTTAGGTGAGCTATACAGTGACCAGTGGTGAGCTTTGTGTCATGTGACCGTAGCATGTCATCTTACCGTAAAGTGTCATCTGACTAGAGTCAATCCCATATATATATATATATATATATATATATATATACACATATATATATATATAGACACACACACACACATATAGTGCTATTCAGATGGGGATGACTTTGAACATAAGAAATGAGAATGATACAGTATTGGTTCTTTGTGTTGCATATTACATTTGCACTAGTGCAGCATATTTTGCAAGGACAGCAAAGTTCAACTCCTTTACAAAAATTCAACCATGTTTGTGCAAAATTATATTGCACATAAAAATGGTATTTTAAGAGATGAAAATGTTCCACGATACGACCAAAATGCGGTTTAAAATGATATATCTAAGGCCCAACATTTTCCCAAACCAAAAAATCACCACTTTAAATCATATCAATATATATCTGGGACATTTCATATCTGAACTGATATCTATCCGAACCATTTTGGACCCAAACAGAATCGATAAGTGGTATGTAACTGAACTGCAACTGAACCAATTGATCCGATTGCACTGTCTAATTTCCCTCTTCTTCAGGGGTGGCAAAAAGAGTTGGTTAAATCATGACTATCATATAAGACACACAGTTCACACGATCCTAAGCTGTCCCAATATCCTACTAGTTACTAGGCATCCTGGCACATAAGCTACCTGAGCAGCCTAAGCACACCTATAAATAGGTTCTAGAGAATAACACATATGAAAGAAGCGTCTTACCATTTGAATTAAATGCTAATGTGAACTATCACTCATAGTTATCAAGGTGTCGCCTAGGAACCACCTAATGGACGCCTAGCCTGAAACACCTAAGGCAATGAGGCACTCCTCTAAAGCTCGCCTTAGCCACGCCTCTCGCCTCATCTCACCTGAAAACACCTATGGGCTAAGGCAAATAGGAACTCTATTTTTAAAAAAGAGTAACATGTGTCTCTCTCTATGAGTGTGTGTCTATATGTGTGTGTGTGTGTGTGTGTGTGTGTGTGTGTATTCATTTCTATAATATATATATATATATATATATATATATATATATGCACACACAGACATACGTACGTACGTACATATAATATTGCCATACTCCACTTACCTAATGGACACCTAGGCGGACGCCAAATCAACTAGGCGACTAGAAGGTACTCGAGCGCCTAGCCTTGCCTAGTCGCCGTAACAATTAGCAGTTAGGCAAATAGGTTTTAAACATTTTAATTCAAACAACATCAATTCGTAATAAATGTTCAGAAAAGGCAAGGATGGAAAGGATCTTTTGACATTGAATTTCAATGTCATAATATGACATCGGTTCAAATGGGGCACCGTCCACCCAACCCCCTCAGTAAACCCCCCACGTCCAGCCCGGCCATAACGCACCCATGCACCTCCGCCAAATGCACCTCCAAAATATGATGTCATAATACAAAGTCAAAACCTAATGTCAAAAGAACCGTGGTGGTTCTGGAAAATGAAATGTAATCTGGGTCATACACTCATATATCAAGTGTAAATTGTATGAGTAACAATTAAATGTCTCTTAAACTTTACTTAAGTATCTCTACATTCTAGAACATAAATTTCAATCATTTTATCATTTATATATAAACATAAATGCACATTTATCTCTGACATCATTCAAAAATACATCCTTCTTATGAACAGAAGGGGAACCTTCATAGGGCCCTCGTTTAGCTGGATGTCCGGGTTGACTTATCTTAAAAAATACAAGTTATATATAAGCTTCTGAAGAATATATTTTTAAAATTTTAATACTCTGTATGTTCTAAGTCCAGATTAATAATCCCTTCTTTTAAGCTAGGCTCTACCACCTGGGCCTGCCGAGCTCATAGAACACTGAATAGCATCATAAGAATCATATATCTGGAAAGACAGTCATCTAAATATAAGAGGAACTAGCCATACCTTTTGCTTGATCCATTACTCACAAAGCGTTTATGCAAACTGGATACAAGGACATCAAGGTGGGGAAGCAGCAATTTCTTGATAGTTTTTTCTTCATCAATCTGCCCATTATCCAGAATCAAGAGATTCTCAATGAACTTAAGAACATAACAAACAATAGCCTGGGACGCTGTTGGGATGGATAACATAGAAAAAATATCTGGAATAAGGTTCTTCTCTCTACACAATAATGACACGAGTTTGTAGCTTCTACTCATTGCAAGAAAGCAAGAAAATAGAGAGCTTGGTTTCTCACTACTGGCACCTTCCTGCTTGAAACCAGCAATTAATGGTTTCACAGATTTGAAAAAGGAATCCCAGAATTTGGGGCTAAAATCATGATCTTCATATTCATTAAGAATAAAAGAAATGATCCTCAAACAAAAAGATCGCAGCTCCTTCGGCTTCTCAATAGCTGTTTGGGTCTACAAAGAAACCATGATATCAATTAGTTCATGTGTAAAACAACAAAGTTCCTAATTCAAAATCACCATTTCCACTGGACTCTTACGGAATGGCACCCTAGGATAAAGAATTAATATAGTACAAATCAGATATCAGTATATTTTGTCCATCAGAAGGTTCAGTGTTAAGATTTAAGAATGAAAGCTTTTATATTTCATTGATGTGAAGATACAAGAACAACAAAAACTACTATAATCTCATCTCTGTTTGGGTCAAGATGTACGCATCCTTACCCTTGGAAATAACAGAAATGTTGTTTCTGTAAGACCCTTGATGCATTTACTACCAAAAACTTCACAGATAGAAGCAAGGGAGGTTTACTTTGCCATTTTGATATAGTCCATTATTATCCCGAAGCTAAAGCATTTTTTAAAAAAAGACTCATTTCCCACCATTTGCAATGGATGCTATAGATTTACAGAAATCTTAAATCAAAATAGATTTAGTACGAAGACAACAAGAAACAGAAGAAATCCAAAACATGTTATAAGCTACGAGAGGCTAGGTTTAGATGGTTTCGTCCCGTGAAGCAACATGGCATTGAGGCCCCGGTGCGGATATGCGATTGGCTTGCAATAGTGGGTGGGAGAGGGGGAAAGGGTAGGCCTAGAAAGAAAAGGAAGGAGGTAATTAAAAAGATTACAACTTCTGGCCCTTACCGAGGATATGACCTTAGACAAGAACGTCTAGAAACCTACGACTAGGGAGTTGGATAGTCGTTTCGATCTGAGTTGTAGTTCTCACTCTTTTCGTTGCGTATTTTATGGGCCTGGGGTCTTGTTGCTTGCAGCTGTCTGTTTGCTTTTGTCTCCTTGCGCTATTCTTACCCATAGTTTGCTCATTGTTATTTATCTTGCGATGTGTTTTCTTTGTTGCTCGAGGGGTAAGGTCGGCGTACACACACCCTCTCCAGATCCTACCTTTGTGGGATTCAACAGGGTTGTTGTTTTTGTATGCTATGTCACAATGTGTAAGCTATAATAAATTGACTAATGTATGTTCTAAGGCATGCTGATATTCAACAGGGTGTGAAAAGATAAAACAATGATATCATCTTATTATTAACCCAAAAAGATTGGTATGGGGGCATTTGAAAAGAATATGACATGCATTACTCATCTATAAAACACTGGCACACACTTATTCTCACATTAAGTGTCATTTTTTTTCAATATTTTTCATTAAATAATGGGATAGCAGCATTTATCAATACCACAGTATCGGTGGTGATGGCATCCCTATGATAAGCATCGATCAGCGTACTATCTGTGTTGTCAAGAGCCGATGTGCAGCTTTCCAGCAAACATGATACACATACCAATAATAGATTAAGAAACGGACTAATACGTGTTTCATCAAAAATAGCCACAGTCTCCTCAATCACATGCAGAAAACTGTTTATCTTCTTCCAATGGTTGCTGATGTTATTTGATGCAACATGCTTGAAGACTTCATATAAATTAGATTCGTCATTTAAGGATTGAGGTTTACTCCAAAGAGATTCAATGTTTCCAACAAAACCTGCATCTCTTCCTACAAGAGGCTTTACTAACAGGGAAAAGAAAAGTGGCAACTCTTCAATGTCAAGCTGCGCTAAAAAGCCAAGAATTGCCTTCCTGAGATGTATGCTTGCATCCTAACATTTAAGAATTTTGTTTAAAGAAGTGTTAATACACTATTATGAGAAATGGTCTGGAACTTAAAAAGTCTGAAAACTAATAATACCTTTCGTGATGCAAGATTTTTTATGTTTCTCACTTTTGGAGCAAGTATTCGGATAACCATAGGCACAAGGAAACCTCTATGTTGTTTGTCAATGAGATGTGAATCCCTTGACAAACTCCAAGTAGTGATTTCCTCTCTCAAATTTTTTGAAATGATCAAATTTTTTAGATGCTGGTAGTAAGGGAGCATAAAATTGTCTTTCCAATGCATCAAGCAATCAAGAACTTGCATCTGCAACTCAGCATCACTCTCATCAAGAAGCCTGGGTAACATCCCCAAGAAGAAGACATAGTTAGTAAGGGCTTTTAACATCATTGATATTTTGAACATAAGGATAATATAAAAGCATTCAGAGGAACAATATTGTCCATTTGAACTTATTTTTTAACCAACCTATATTGTAAGACATCTTTTAAAAATTGATTGTGGTAAAATGCCTTGGGATTTCTCATGAGTCTGAATAGGTTTAGCCATTCTCTAAGAATCACCATCCACTCTTCCCCTTTGAAATCCATTGTGCTATACGAATCAACACTGCATTCAAAAAAAAGTCAAGAAAAGGAAGCAAACTTTGCAAATAAATACTCCCTCCGTCCAGGAATGAACTTCCCACTTTCCTTTTTGGCCCGTCAGAAATGAACTTCCCATTTCCTTATTTTGTAAATTAATTTCTGTGAAATCCCTTCTTTACCCCTCTCCTCTTCCTCCCATCGCATGTCCTCTTCTGCTTTGATTTTTCCTCCTCATCCTCTTCATCCCTTTCAATTCTTCCTCTTCCCCTTCTAGGTGTGCAGTTTTGGAAAGTCAAAACAATTTTTTGTTCTCCTAAATAGGTGTGCCCAGTCAAGACTGGAAGTTCTTTTACGGACGTAGGGAGCAACATTTCACTAGAGAGAAAATGCTCAAATTTGGAAAAGAGAACCACCTCACAAGTTCTTCAACATTATATCCCAGGAATTTCAAAAACAATGGTACTACTTGCCGAGAACGAGATTCAGCAACAGATGAAACTCTCTGTAATGATTGAATAAGCAAAGAAAAAACTTTTGGAGACGAAGTACTTTCTGACATTGAAGAACAGTAAGACCAGAATCGCCCGTTCAAACCTGAAGAGCCATAAAAGAAACAACAATGTTTATAAGCTAAAGGAATCTGAGTGAAGAGCTTGCCTATTCAAAAACTAAAATCATTATCAATACATAAATAGAGAGGCACTAGAAACACAAAAATTGGGTTCTGTTTATATAGAACACAACATACCATCATCATTTCCAAATGATTTAATACTTCCCATACAATTTTGATCATCATGACTTAGAATGGTGGAGATGCAGTAATCAAGGTACTTCACATATCCATCCCAAAGCATCCCATGGTAATTCTCAAGTAAGACAGAAATGCATTCCAAAACAGGACTCCATAAGTAACTGAATTTGTTGTAAAGGATCCCTATTACACCATTCAAAGCTACAGGAATGAGATGTTCATGTATCCTTGCAGATGATAGACTCCTTTGTATTTTAGATACAAGTAGTTCAAGTTTTCTGCTGGCAGCAATTGACAAAGGCATTTCTTCTATTGACAGAAGGAGCTGAACAACCTGATAACAAAGTGTTGAAACAAGAAGCACCTTCTAACAACGAACTAATGCAACAACACAAGTTCACAAAAAAAACAATATATGAAATACATACATTACAGCCCAGGTCAGATACAGCACATGCTTGAGGATCATCACTTTGTTTTTTCTCAGTAAGTTCCTTTCTAGAATATCCATCACACATGGGTTCATAATGGCACAAGATTCTTAAAGTAGAAAGGCGGATTTCCTTGTCACGGTGGCATAAATTTTCAGAAAATATATCTAGAGCAGTCACAACTTCACTTGCACCAAGTTCTGGATGATAGTGCTGAATAGGATTATCAGCGGCTTGTTTTCTGAATGTTCAAGCACATTTATAGAAATTAGAATAAGACGAACACATGCTCACCACATGAATGATGCAAAAGTATAGCTTTATAAGGGTGAGAGAGAGAGGAGGGTGGTGGCAGAAAACAAGTCATAGCAAGAAATGGATTGAAAAGGAGAGAAGATGTTAGTAAAGCCTGCGAGGAGAAAGCTAATCCACAATATAGTAAACCAAAAAAAGAAAATATTTGAATATTGACAAGAAGCTTAAATCCAACTGGAGTGCCTTCATTTCATTCTCCAGAATGGAGAAAAGAAACGAGAAAGAGAAAACAAATTCACATGATGTTACCTTTTGCACCTTTTGTTCGATAATGTAGTATAAAAGGTAGAGTAATGAACAGCATCAAGCATGTATTAAGCACAAAATATGAAATAAGTGATAAATAAATATATGCATAAAACATACCCATAAATAGAATCCAAGATATCAGCCACCCCAGACAATATCTGAGGGCACAATCTGTGCCTTCTTGCAAGATCTAAAAATTTACTCACTTCAGACTCCATCAATGCAGCATTTTGAACATCCAGTAACTTAAGAAAAGAACTTAAAGTAGAACCAATCAAGCATTGCCATGCTTTTGTACATAAGTCTGTGAGATGTAGCAAAGAACAAAAAGATCATTCATGCATATTAACTAAGAATAGTAGATGTACAAGCATCTACAACTCATAATCCTGGCAATAATATTTTAACAATTACTGTCTCAAATTGCCCCTGAACGGAGTTAATAAGAACGTGGACTAGAGAAAACCCTTTCCCAATCTAAACAAGATTGTGCACAGCACAAAATACTTCCACATCATGCACATGTTGGGGAAGAAAGAGCGACACAAGCTGTTCTGTGATTTCACAGATAGTTAGACGCTACCAAGGCATTAAGCATCAACAAAACCCACAAGCAGATCATTGGTTTTTTCCTGACTTTGACCCCAATTCCCCGTGCTTATCCCCTTTCACACACACACACACACAAACAGCATTACTCAGAGAGTAGAAGTATTAGAGATTAAATCTTACCTGACTTCACCTTTAAAAGATCATCTATAGCATACATTAAGTCCATAAGAAGGGAAGGATTTGCTCTGCCATCGTTCATGTACGGATAGCATCCACTTATTCCCCACAGGAATCCCAAACTATTCTCTTGAAAGGAAACCCCATTTTCTTTCACATCGCTGATGCGCTGAATCCAAAGATTTATAGCTTTCTCAAAGAAAGTACAAATTCTTGACATTTTCTCTTCAGGTACTCCATCAAAGAAGCTCTTCCAATGTACTGGTATCCTCTCACAAAACATGTACATCAATTCTATGAACTCATCCTCTGAAATCTCTAGTAACAAAATTAATGCGCTGAAATCCAAATGCAAAAATTGGGACTTTAGTAGAAGTTGCAGAATACTCAACATAGTTCTATCACTTCATGTTTCAAATATAAGTGAGAATGACATGCATCACCTTATAATGTTGGCTCGAAACAAATGGATGACAGAAAGGTCCTTTGAGAGAAAATCTTTCACAAATGTAGCCAAACTGATATACAGTAGAAGAATAGAACATATATAAGACCTCAGAAAACTGTAACAACAGCAACAACAACGATAATAATAATAATAACAACAACAACAACAGCAACAATTATAACAACAACAACAACAACAACAATAATAATAATAATAATAATAATAAATATAATAAATATAATAATATTAAAAAATAAGAAATAACAATAGCAGTAATAACGCAATGCAAAAAAATAACCAAAACATCCCTTCAATACCTTTTATTCCTCAAATCAAACAAAGGATCCCACTGTGAGAAACAGGTGAGATCTGACATCTTATTAGCTTTGTGAAGGCCATCAACAGTACAAAGTATCAACAACAAAATTTTGTCAACAAGCTCTGGTGCCGGATCCATCATCTCACCGAAGTAAGTCCGTACTAGCAAACTGATTACTTCAAGAACTTGTTGATAATCTGTGCAAAGTAAGCAGCCTTAAAATCATTCCAACAAATGGTGAAACAGAAAAATAGTCTCTCTCGCTCTCTCTCTAAGCTAGGACAAAGATGGTGATGTTCACAGATGAGGAGGGAACAGTTATTTCCCAACCAGTAGTGTATGAACGTTGCCCTGTTATTTGTGCCAATGTAGAAGATAGGGCACACTGAAGAGAACTGTAGGAAGAAGGTCATGGGAAACAGGCAGATGGTATAGAAGCCCAATACATCAGACAACAGAAGGGAACCAGAGGTAAATGGTAACATTGTGAATGCTGACAAAGAAAGAGAAGGAAGCTAAGGCAGCATATGCTTTCTCTCTAGATGGGCAGGATTCAAAGAAGTTAGTAAAAGGAAGGTGCCACAGAAGCTGAGTCCTGAAGGTAGTATGAAGGATACAAACCAAACTCTCTATATAAGTAAGCTATTAGTGGAAACTGGAAACCCCATGTCAGACACTATCCCTTCTAACATGATTGGAAGCTGGCATGTATGAGACTATGTGGACTTAATGCCCCTAATAAACAGAGTGATGTCAAGCGTCTCATTCATAAGTATAACATCAGTATCTTAGGGTTACGAGAAACTAAGGGGTTTTTTCTTTTTGCGGGTTCTTATTGGCTTATTGCTAATAAGAAGTTTTTAACTTATGAGCTGCTAGTCAAGGTGTCTTTGGTGACTGTCTAGTCAAGGTGTCTTTGGGTGCTTATGGGCCTTTAGAGGTGATTTCTGTTTGTCAAGGTGTCTTTGGTGACTGTCTTCTGTTAGTCATGGCTGCAGAAAAGTGGTTTTGATCTACATGAAGGAGTGCAATGTTTAACAAAAAGATTCAAAGATTACATATATATACACACACACACATACACACATATAAATATGCTTTTTATGACCCACCAGAAAATTTTTCCACATATTTCTTTTGCACAGTAGAAATAAGCAGTGATAAAAGCCGGCAAAGATGCACTGAGTCACCACTTGTAGCATTGTTAGTTATTCCCTTTACTAAGCAACCCCACATCAAATCTAGCTCGTTAGGCTTCACATTCTCACACAACCTTTGAAATGCACTAACAACAACTTCAAGAACAGTTCCTGAGCCTGTACAAATGGTGTAGAGTTAAAGAAAAGCCAGAAATAGAATAAAAAACTTCAAAGAATAAGAACGGAGCAACTTGACAGAGAACTAAACCTAACAGAAAAAGGCCAAATGTAATTATGTCCTTTATCAGTCTATCTTATTTTACTTTACCTTGTCGTGAGTTTTAAATTGGCATCTAAGTATAATTGCAACCTATACAACAAACTTGTGATTGGTGGGTGTACTATCAAAGTTAGGCCTACTCATTCCAAGCAGGACTGGATGAAGAAGCTAAGGGAGAGTTTTAAGAGGAGATGGATGGGGTGGTAGAGGGCATCCCGCAATCAGAGGCACTCATCATTGGACTTTCATATGTCCTCCTAATGAAGCCTTAAAGTGATCTAAAACTACTAAAAACATGATGTCTGAGTGAATGTATAATATGAAGAGCATTGCTGATTTGGACAACTGGTCCAAGGATGTGATGTCTGCTTTAGTGACTTTAACAGCAAAATATAAAAGGCCTATTATAGATTTAAAAGCAAAAAGTCCAACAAGACCATAAAATAACCCTTAAAACAAAGTTTATGAGGCTTAAATCTCAATAAGTATTAAACACATTCACACTTATGAGGATACCACACCTCATTCATTAGAGGTGTAAGTCTCACAGCACATATTAGACGCTTAATCTTCAAGGCTAATTTCATGCACCTCAAACTGAGGCAAGACTCACAAACACCTTTAAAACCATGAGTCTAATAAACAATCATTATCAAATTAGCACATTCTTAATATTTTAAAACCTATGCAATACAGTAATCCAGTTCTCACACTTTAAGATTTGTAAATTATATCCACTTTTATAAAATAAAGTTACAGCCTTACAGGATGCTCTACTTTTGGTTATTCAGATCATGGGACATCAACCTCGTATATCACAAACCCCATAGGGATTCTTTTGTGCCTTAAACTGTCAAAGACAATTGAATTTCATACAGTGTTGTTCCCAAGGACGCATATCTAGAATCAAGACCCCCTTACACATCCATGTACATCAAGTCAAACAAAACCCAAGCTTAACGATAATTAGAATGATCATTTAGAATAGGTCACGCTGAGCATCACCTCAACCTATATGGTTGAATCCGCAGAACTGATTATACAGCTAAAATAAAGTGAGTATTTTTTACAGTTCATTTTAATCCAGGTACAATGTTTGCATGATGCGGTTATGAATCAACTAAAGCGTAACAGAAGTAATTTTACAAAATATGAGTAATGCCTTAACCAGAATATATGAGCCTATGTGTGTTATACATTCTGCAAAACAGGCTCCAAATGCGGATCACAGAGTAACGTAAGATGAGAAACGGATTTTGCTTAATAACTAAAAATAGATCTCACCTCCATCAAAATGATCGGCAATGCTATAAAGGGAGTTACCAATCAGAAGGTACAAAACATTATCAGCCCTTGAATGAAATCTTGATGGAGTTCCTATCATCGTATATAATAGTAAGGAACTGATTGCGGACTTTCTGGTTAGTGATGGTTTCTTCGAAACTTCAAGCATCAAGTGTTGAATCCCTGGCAAATTGCAGATACACAAGATTACATGCAACACAGTGTACTGTGTCTTTAATCATCTCCGGTAGAGCCAAAGATTCACTTTTCTTTTTTATTTCTTTGAGGTATGATGGAATAAAGCAAAATGGCTCTTTAAACTATTTGTGCTTCTTTTATAGTAAAGTAGCAATTAGTCAGCATGGATCATCTGGAAACAGTCACTCTATGTTTTAAAAATAGTGGTAAGATTGTGTACAACTGACCCCTCCCCCCCCCCATAATGGGCTGGAGCCTTTGAGGCAGACAAGTAATGTTGTTGTTGCTATAGTGTACCATGTATAAAAAGGGAGGGCAGAAAAAGATTAAAATGGGCTTAAATAAACAAGAATATGTGATATGTCACCCCATAACTAACATGAGCAAACAACACTACAAACTTCTCAGCATTGAGAGCGTAACCAAAAAGATTATGCAATGAACAACATGTCAATATATAAAATATGGCCATCTAACAACAAAGATGCATAGCAAAGCTTGTGAAGTTTCTCTAATCTACACAAAGAAAGGCCAATTGGTTCTTAATTTTATTTGTGCAATGAAAAAGCCCGAATCATTCTTTCATGTTCTATGAATTTTATAATAATCATAAAAGGGATGTAAATTGGTATTACATCATATGTGTGATGGAACTATGCTAACTTAGGGTAAATGTTTAGCGGCATATAGGTGTTGTAATTATTAACTGAAGTATGAAATAGATGCCACACAAGAGGAATCTGCTACGGCAGTACATCTTTTACTAAAAATATAATAACCAAGGTTTATAAGTAAAACATAAAATCATACATCTCAGAGCACCCGCTATGGTGGGTGAATAGCTGAGAAAATGTGCGGTGGAAAGGGGTTGAATGGGAGTGGGAGGTGGATTGATAACATAAATAAACAATGAGAGAAAATTTTGGATGAATGTATATCATCTCAAAAATTACACGAGGCACTTGCAAGTTCTTTTAAGTAATGAGATATGTAGTCTCCACTTAATTAAAAACCAAACTTCTATATAAAAAAATTTGTTCTATAAAAAGTAAAAACAAATGAGGATATTTAAAAAATCAAAAGTATTTAAATTTGGGTGTAAATTTTAAAAACAAAAAAATGAAATACTACGAAAGATTTTAACTTACAATTGTTTTAAAGTAATGGGACATTCCGTTAATTAAAATCTTTTTTTGTTATTTCATTTGTGTACAATAAAATCTATTGATTCAATCTTGGCAAGCATATTAAACTATAAGTGGACGAATAAGTACCAAGTGTGTTGGCATGTGGGTCTCATTGTAGTTCAATTGTATAGGGAGATGGTTGAAGTGGAAGGGATGAATTAGGAGAAAGTTATGAAATGGAATGTGGGTCCCATTAAAAAACAAGGGGGAGATGGATGAATGGGAAGTGAATGAAAGTCGATGCTATTACCTTTTTTAAGTTGCTGTAAAGAAGCATTTCTCAACAAGAATGATAGTGACTCCGCCATGAATTCTTGCACGTACACTTTGGGAAAGTATCTCAATTTTACGGTAGCCCTGAAAAAGAAAATAAATAACTTCCTATTACACCAATGAAGAAAAGTAAGATCCAAGAAAACTGAGCTACCATATGCATTGATAACAACTCAGCCTTTACAAAGTCAAGCAAAAGCAAGTACACAAGATTAAAACAGTACATTTGAATCCATGATCAGTCAATTCTACAGCTCTCTAGAGGTACAGTTAAGGGAAAACAATGTATGTACTATTCAATGTTAAGAAATGAAGGAGGTTAGTCGTGGTGGTGATAAATACCACTCACAGCCAACAGTGGGAGGTGATAGAAGACCCTGTGCTTAAATTATGAAAAAGAACCCTGTCATGTGCAACCTATTTGGACCCTCCATTATAGGATGGATGGGGGATAACTTGTTTAGGGATAGTTCTTTAATGATACTCTTTTGAATTATTTGTGTTAGTTTCTATAATTCCTAGTTTCTCTAATCTGATTCTCTACAGTCTACACTGTAGTTCCTGTCGTTTTGCTTTCAAGAGTCTTACTCTAACAATGACAGATGTACTCCAACTGGAGTGTTAGGGAATGTAGAGCGTTAGCTGATTTCAAATGTTAGTCCAAATGAGTCAAATAAGAGTTTTCACTTTGTTGAAAGAGTATGAGTGCATGTATGATGTATTACAAGACATCAGGTGGAAATATGAGAAAATTCTTCATTCATAGTTTTTAGGTCTTCCTTTCCCATCATCGTTTATAAATCAGCCAAGGATTGTGCATTGAAAACAAAATCGGTTATCAATGTTAGTTGATGAGCTTCTCTCACAACACACCATGGTGACCAAAATCAAATTTCTATCCAATGCATAAAATATATATTACTCCCTCCGTCCTAAAACTATCTTCTCATTCACTATTCACTCAGTCAAACTTTATCCACTTTGTTAGCCTATTTTCGCTACTTATTTGATAAAATAATATAGTCATGTCACCTCTTGTTTCGTAGATCTTTTGATGTAGTTTTTAAATATATACTCCCTTCGTCCCTCAATTTATGTCCACTTTCTACTTAGCACGAATACCAAGGAGATGAGTAAAAAGTCTCAATTGCCCTTGAATAATTTCCCTGCTCTCAGTTGCCACGCCCAATTTTTCTGCCGCCCAACCCATTCTCTCCTTCACCCCGTTCCATTGTTGAGCGCGTTGAAAATTACCCCCATCCCGTTGTTGCATGAATTATGATCAACTTCAAAAATAAAAGAAAAAAAATTATTACCCACAAATATGGGCTTCCAATCGAATTCGAATATTAGCTTTGCTTCATATCTGAGAATTGCAGGCAAGTACGGATTTGGGTTTCAGCTGATTGCTTCACCCACAGTCCTGTGGTTCTGGGTGCGATGGCTCGTGCCCTCGCGGGTGAAGGGCGATGACTCATCATGACTACCAATCATCCCACCATTTTGAAGAGATGAAGGAGGTAAATATATCACCTCGAAGAAAAACAAAACACGACCTCTACCATCTGAGGTCTAGAGTTAGGCTGCGCAAAACAAAGAGGATTAAGGGAGTGAATGGAGAAGACGAGAGATGTGAAAGAAGAAATTGAGTAAATGTGGGAGTGGATAGGTTGGATAGCTTCACCATGGAGTAAATTAGGGAGGGTAGAATGGTCTTTTTCTTATATTTTTCTTACTTAATAAGGAAAGTGGACAAATATTGTGGGACAACCAAAAAAGGAATACTGGACAAATATTGGGGAACGAAGGGAGTAATAATTATTTTCAAGTTCCACACCAATAGTCCAATAAATTGAATTGAAAATAACTTCAGTCAAAGATCGTAAAGCACAACTAGAAGTTAGCTAGGACAAAGGAAGTACAAATTAGTAAAGACCATATATTTCTCCCCATGCTTTCATAGTTGAAATTCATAAGTGACAAAGAATTCATATTGAGCAGGAGAGTTGCAAGACTATATTATATAGTTCAAATTTTATATGGAATATTGGAATACGCTTTGAATCCTTTATAGTACAAAGCTCTTAAGGGAAAAAAAATTTCAAGACTTAAACAGAACATAATGCATTTAAAGCACAATCAAACTATAGCTTACTTTAGAACATGAACAACATCATTTGTAAGGTACTTCTGTAGGTACATCATAATGCATGACAATGACCTAAAAATCTGCAAAAGTAAGATCATGTGAATCATATCACGTAGATTAAGAGATTTTAGGGCAACAGAGATAGGACTTTCTAAACACGTATCCCGTTACCTGCTCAATTATTTCAGGTTCTCTATCAGCACCATTTTTTAGAAGAGCTACAAAAGAATTGGCAACCCTATGAAGAAACCTGGCAATTGACAGTAAATGAGAATGTTAAACAAAAGGAGCAAATATAATGTCAGTCTACAGTGGGGGTAAATAGTTAAATACAATGCAAATCTAAAGTGGGGGTAAATATAATGCCAATCTAAAGTAGAGGTAAATATAATGTGAGTCTAAAGCGTAGAATTGAAAGGCAATTGCCTCCCTCGCCTCAGGCGCCTGGGCGACCTGCTACCACACAGGCGAGGCGCGGTCTGCCTTTCTCGCCTAAGTCGCTCGCCTCAGGCGTTTGCTTTTCTCGCCTTACTGTGTTATGGGCCTTCTAAAAAATGGGCAAGCAATTTGATTGAGGAAAAGACTAGCATCTTAAACGCGACTCATTTACACTCTACCGCGACTACACCTCCCAGACTCGAGTCAACCGACACTAACTCTACCTCGTCTCTTCTGGTCTCATTGGCAACTCAGGTCTCATCTCCTCTTTCTCTCTGGTCTCGTCTCCTCTCTCTCTCTTTGTTATCTCTCATCAGCTCTCTGTCTTCTCTCTGTTTCGTTTTGCAGTTCTTTTTTTGCCTACTTTTTATCTTTTTTATGTTTCACGGGTTTAGCTTACTTATCTGGTGAGGAGAGGAGAGCAATGAGTATGAGAATGATTCCAAACCTCTTTTTTGATCAAAAATGATGGAAAACATGGATTTCTCTTTGAGTGATGATGATTACAATTAGGCTTTGAGGAACATATGTAGTAACTACTCTAATTGTTTTGGTTAACATGTATGACTTTATTGGGATTGACATTATTAATTGCACTGCACTATATATCTTATGTATGTGTGTGTATGCCCCAAGTTCGCCTTTTGGCCGTCCGCCTCTCGCCTCGCCTTTTGCATTTAAAAAGGCCCTCTCGCTTGCCTCGCCTTTCGCCTTTCAAAACTATGGTCTAAATGGGGTTATTTCTTTGGAATAAGAATATTTTAGACTTCAATGCTAGAAACAAGGCAGTAAGGCTATGTTTAAGATTTATTAAGAAATATGGACCAAATGTTCACATTGTCCTAAAAATATTTTCCAGGTAAGGTGTTGGGGGCTTACAGACAAAGAAAATATTTTAGGAGAAAAATGTAGCATATAAATTACTATCATAAGCAATACAAAGTATTTATATTTCATCTTCCCATGTGAAAATGGCACAAAGATTAAGACTGAAGGGAAAAATGTTTAAATGCCCCTGCCTACTTTTTGATTTTACTAAAAGTGAGTAAAAGGTGGTAAACATGTAACTTGCTCAGGGAAGTGTAATTTTATTAAAAAGAAGTAAAAAGAGTGTGCCAAAAAAGGAAATGAGAAGATGATTTTAGGACATCCTAAAGTGGCAAGTTGGAAGATGATTTTGGGACGGAGGGAGTATGTACATATGATAGAGTATGAGAATTCAACAACCAGTATAATCCCAAATCCGTTGAAGTCTAGGGGTGAAAGTGTATGTAGTCTAACCCCTCAAAAACAGAGAGGTTTTCGTTGGCCCCTAAATGCATTGTTCCATTTACTTCACAAAACTTCATTAGAAAGTAAGAAGCAAATGAAGTTTTATGGATTTAATATACAAGGGAAGTTCCATGGGCTAAATATGGATTTATTAGATTTGATAAAAACACTTGCACAAAAGTGGCAATTATGTGCCCTGCAAGGTTATCTGGTTCATATTCACTGACCTTGGTTTGAACTATGTGTGGCTTGTTCCCCGCCATTGAGGTTACGCATGCAACTTAGAAGGTTTCATCCACTAAGTGTAGTCTTAGCGACAAAGACTATTTTGTCTTGTTCCAACAGGCTATAATATACACTGTCTGGAAAGTTATTTACCATCACAACTTCAAGTGTCGAATGTGATTGTTTTGCGCTCAAAGAGCAAAGCATCAACAAGTGACATGGTTGGGACTGCTTCACTCAAATTATGACCAAGAAATACGAGCAAGCCGGTCAAACGTAAAGGGGAATGAATAACCCCTTATGTTTTGATTTGTACACATATTTATTTATAAGACCATTCTGAGATTTTGAGAAAAAGTCAATCATATTAACTTGTGGCAATGTGTCCAAACATGTTTTTAGCTCCAATAAAGTAACAATCAATGCACTTAGACCGCTCAAGATAACCTGGTTTAATTCTCACACATAAACTTTGCTCACATCCTCTAATTCTTGAAGTAAGTGCTTCAACCCCCATCCTCTAACTCTAACTCTAAGAGTAAGTGCTTCAACCATAAGATATTCTATGCAACAAAAGTCATTAAATGAAATTTTGTTGATTTGAGAGACATGGTAAAACATGAATAAAAATGGCACTAAAGATGATATAGGGCCTCAAAATCATGTATGGCGCTAATCAGCTTTGCGTTTACGAGAGTGAGTTTGCTATTTTTCCATAAATCTTGGGGATTGACTTCATTTCAGTTGACTCATATCTTAAATTAAGTTAGAACCCGTAGTTTAGAGTCGAAGGCACGAGAAAAAATGGATCATTGCAAATAAATAAAATTGATTTCAAAGGTAAGGATAACTACAAGAGAGCTTTTCTTATTCGGGTTTTTAAAACCATAAGCGGAAGAAACAAGGAAGGGTACGTGATAGGGTTTTGACATATAAGGCGAGATAGAATGCTTGTTGCACAAGAACCGGTTATCCACAAGTTAGACGTATTCAAAATACATGTAGTATGCATACCTAGTATGATGTAGTGAAATTTGATGTGTAATTCTCATATTCAAGTCGTGAAATCACAACCATGGATGGAGATGGAAAAATATGGGAATGTTGGTTGTCTATGAAGGTCCATCATGTAGGATCCATCACTTGTGTGGTGTGCCTTATTTTAGGACAAAAAATCGCATTTAGGGCAATTTTGTCAAGGATTTAATACATGACTGTTCCTTACAGATTATGAAATCCAAGGCCTTGATCCACCGACAATAATTTGCTATAATGGGACTATGTGAAGGTTCATAACAAGTCTTCGTTCAACTATCTGAAGACTTTTCTACATCCTCCTTCAAGCACAACTATCTGAAGACTTTTATACATCCTCATCAAACCGCTTACTTCCAATGAACTCCAATTGCCTCCTAATCATCATGGCATTGTGGCAAGCTTGATCACCTTTTGGCAACTCAACAAAGGCCTATTAGTTTTTTTCTTTTTGTTCCTTCACGTACGATAGGCGTTTGTCTTCTACCATTATTAAACGTGACGATGTGAGTTGTGATTTTTCACTCTTAAACATGGTTGTCAAGTCGTCGCCTAGGCCACGACTAGTCGGCGACTAGTCGTCCGGGCGATTTTGCCATGGCGATTTGCTCTTCGACTAGCGCCTAGGGCCGCTTAGGCTATTAAGCGTGCAAAGCGACGCTTAGCCGCGATTAGGCGACGCTTAATCGGTGAAAGAAATTGGCCAAATTTGACCTAATCCAATCGACCCGACCCGACCCAAATTTCATTAATTTTTAAAAATTTTTCCTTCGACGCAATCGATCCACAATCGACCGTCTGGAGGGTTGCGACTGCTCGTCTTCCAGTAGCAGTGACTTCCAGGCTTCCAGCGACTCTCCTCCATCAACAATTCTCCTCCATCAGCGACTCTCCTCCATGGGTAAGATTTCTTAATGTTTACTTTGTTATCATTAAAGTATACTCTTTATTTGATTTAATTTTCATTGATTTGGTTCATTAAACTATAAAGTATAATATACTTTAAAATTTTCAGTTTTTTTCTGTTTTCTTAATATTTCAGTTTTTTTTCTGATTTCAGTTAATACTTTGGTTTTTTTCTTATTCTAGTATTTTAGTATTTCAGTTTTTTTTCAGTTTAATATTTCAATTTTTTTCTGAATTCAGTTAATATTTTGGTTTTGTATTTCTTATTTTAATATTTTAAGGGTTCTAGGCTCTTGTTTTTGTTTACTTGCTGGAATGTCATATTCACCAACTTGATTTAATAATTATTTCAGAACAAATGGGAGATAGTAATATCCGCGACTACGAAGACGATCCATAGATATATATAATGTTAAAATTTTCAATACTAATTGTGATTTGTCGACTAGTCTACGACTAGTCGCCTAGTCCACTAGTCTCCCCGTTACCGACTCGACTCGACTTGTCGACTTAACAACCATGCTCTTAAAGCTTAAACCTTGGATGGACTTCTAAAGCACTATACTCCCTCCTGTTAAAGGAGAACAATTTCTTCATGGTACAACTTTTAATATTAGTTAGGTACAACCACTAAATGTCTTTAATTGTGACATATTATCACTGTCTCTAAGTATTTGTCCAGTTTTAACTTTTTGCGGTCAAAATTGACGAACTTTGACCCCTATCAAATTAACATTAGCTATTGATACAAAAATAATTTTATTAGACTTATTTTACAAAATATTTTCAAAATATTACTTTTTCTAATTAATATACTAAATAATTTTTATTTAATATGAAGTCAAAAGTTGAAAATGGTTGACTACAAAAGGGCAAAACTCGACAAATACTCAGACGTAGTATTTAGTTTAATAAAAACATCATAGATAATGAAGGTTAGCATATTATGCTGAAAACATCATAGACAATATAAACTAGCACCTAGCACATCACTATTTATTTGTGTTCTTGAAAATAAATGTATTGTGAAGAATTTTCTTTAACTTCATCACTAGTTTAACAACATAATAAGACTTGATCAACAATGGAATATAAACACTCCCCTTGTCTAAATGCAATTATTTTATATTCTTTTTTAAGTCATCTCAATGTATTTGTCTACTTTCCATTTAAGAAAAAGAAATAAAGTGACATTGACTTACTTGTCCTCACTTAATACTCTAACTCCCACATCCAAAGAGTAAAAGTAAGGGCATAAAGATCACTTCTTCTCATTTTCTTTTTCTTAAGTCCATGTGCGAAAAAATTTGTGGACAAATACACCAAGATAAGGGGTATTATATATGTTATTATATGCATCAAATATTTTTTCTTTCTTCTATTGTACATTCATTTTATGTTTTCTTATACTCTTTATTAAAATCTAACATATGAAATAAAATATATTAGACATTAATTTAAACTAATGTTCATAATCATAAATAATTCCCTATAAATGACTAAATCATTAAGATGATTAAGAAAGAGATATGATTCATGAGAAATGTCTATATATAAAGTGTCTAATGTATTGATGTAATACAAAGTTACGGAAACAAATTTCTTTTACATATGTACTCCACATCACTTATTAACTTGTCTAATACTCCCACTACCAAGTTTATTCTTCCCATTTGGATGAACTTGCAAAATCTCATCTCTTTTAAAATGATTTTATTTACAAATTGGTATAGAAATAAAAAGTACAAATCACACTGTTCAAAACCACATCAAAAGTTTTCCAAACAAGAGATGACAAGTATATTTTTTGTCAAATGATCAATGAAAACATGCATACAAACATGAGCTATCGAGAGACCGTAACAGTAACTAAGAAGATTAATTTGGGGCGGAGGAAGTACCATGTTATAAAATATGACTTGGGTGATTAATGATATCTAAAAATCAGTTATTTCACTAACTTACTTGATATTTATCCCATTCGTGTTGCTTTTTGTAAGCAAAATATTTAAAGGATCTTGAGGTGTGTGTTTTATTTTAACAACTTTGATCAAAAAAAGGCAAGTACCTTGATATGCAAGTAGTGGACGAAAAAAGAAACCAATCAAACAGCAACCCCCCCCCCCAAAACGGCAGCATCTATCAAATGAATTAGTATATGGGAGTCAGCATGTTAACAAATGAATTAAACACTTACGGTAAGAAGTCATCCACCAAATCTCTAGACAAAGCTGCAATTAGCCTACAGGAAAAATATAATATATACCATTAATAAAAGGTAGGATATAATCCTTTTCCTGATAGTGACCCTGAAAAAAGACATTGATAGCATGGGAATATAGACTTTTAATTATATTTGCTCCAAAGATAACACTTTTTAGTATCATACGCTTTCCAACTAGACTTTTTTGCTTCAGAAATATAGGCAGAATCGGTAAACAGAGAAGAGAAGAAGAGGTAGCAAGATCAGAGAGCACACGAAGGGTCGTGCCTTACTTTACAACCATACTATTAAGGATACAAGAAAAAACAGTAAAGCTCCCAACTATTTAGTTTCCCACAACGCAAAATACCTTAAAATGGGTTCAAGTGATAGTTTGCCCTTCATGTGCAATCTAGAAAGAAGCTCCGAGAGTATTAATTCCTTCTGCAGCACAATTTGAGGTAGTGTCTGTACCAAGGGCAACATGTCTTCATAAAATGAAATGAAATCCTCTGCTGTGTTTAATTCCTGTTATTTTGTTCGAAGAGAACAAGATCAATGGAGGTTAGGCAAAAATAGAAACTTTAAGTTATGATTCATTTGGACAGAGATGAATATGGATTCCCATTTGATATGATCAATCTAAGTGAGTGTTTCTTTGTGCTTATAAGCTGGTCAAAACTACTTATAAACAGTTTTTAACATATATAAGTCAGTTGATTGCGTGCTTATAAGCTGACTTATGAGCTACTTATAAGCCATAAAAAATAAGTAGGTCTTAGCTACTTATTTTTGAGCCAATTTTTTTGTTTCTCCGTTTTGACCAGATTAATTACAAAAATGTTCCTCGTCATTTATGAATATTTACAAATGACTTACCTATCATTTAAGTCATTATATTTCCACGAAAGAATATTTGACTTATAAGCAACTTATAAGTTAAAAATTGCTTATCAGTAATAAGCTAATAAGCACCAGCACAGAGAAACACCCCCTAAGTTACGTTAGTCTAATCCTAACATCCCGATTAACTTCACTTCCATGAACCCAGAATTGGTGGTAATCAGGTTGAATATCTCATGCTATGTTTTTTATTTTAATTTGCCTCCACCCACGAGCATTGAAAAACCATCTAAGTGGAGCTAATAGTATTCAAACAATATCTTAAGATATTCACTCAAGTGAATATATTTTCTCATAACCTAAGTCTTTATTTAAGTTTACTTTAGGTGAACATCAAGAACATGCAACAATGTCATCCGATAAGAAATTGCACAGCCCTACTACCTCATCAAATTATCAAAAAATACAATACTATTAACAGATGCTCTTCTGAAAAGGAAAAAAAGACATTTTAAATTTAGGGCTGCAACATGTAGCAACTACAACAGCAAACCCAGTAGGAATGCAAATATGCAATGGGTGCAACATATAGGCGTACATATAAAGAATAAAACATGTGCATTGTTCAGGTTTCTAATAGCGCACATACTCTGTATTCTACAAGACAATCGCGAAAAAACGAGGATCCTTCAGATGGCTCAGCTTTAATGGGGTCGAGACTCCTGTATACATTGATATCAATGTCCTGAATTCGCTGCAAAAATCTCTTGAACTGCAATGTAATAGAAGAATACAAGAGAACTAAATTCAGCTTCAGCTTAAGAATTACGCGTGCATAATAAACTAGCAGCTCATTTTTGAAGTGCTTACAACAAAGTTGCGGGGACGGCAGAAGGGCTTCTCTGGGGAATCAGCGGCCATAGCATCGGACATAGCCTCCATGGTGAGACAAGAAGGCGCTAAGCTATGCAAAATCTCCCGGACTGCCTCGCGGATGTGGATGCGCCGGTCTCTGAAAACGCCCTGGTCCTTCAACTTATCCGTGGCTTACCGCAAGACCTGCGTTCTCAAGTGAATTTCCTTCAATACCAAGTTCCGATGCCGTCTTTCATTGAGACACGGTCTGCCCTTCTCCTTCTTGAAGGACAACAAAACGACTTGGATGACACCAACACCGGCGGCACAGCCCTTTTCTCCTCCGGGCAGTCCTCCGGCAGTCAGCGGGTCGCGGCTTCAGAAGGTTCAGGCAGCGGCACCAGTCACGCTCCTCAAGGCAGCGGCGGACGGAACACTGGTGGGGTCGTGGTCCTTTCAGCGGCGGTCGTGGCAGTTTCAGCGGAGGCCGCGTACGAAGTCAACGCGGCAGAGGACGTGGATACTCCTGGACGCCATTCATCTTATCCTGGTATCTTGGGCCCTAGACCTAATACTCCTCCCCCTCAAGCCCAAGCTCAAGCCTTTTGGACCCAACCAAGTTTTTCTAGCCCAAATAACCCTTATCTACAATACCCAGCCCCATACCTGCCACCTTTTCCCCATCCACACACCCCACCCACACCCTCCTACCCGTACCCTACCCCCCCTCCCACACCCACAGCCCTCACCCATTCTTTTGATGCGATGACCCTCCGTGATCCCTCGTGATTCATGGACACCGGAGTCTCTCATCACATTGCCTCTGACTCAGGTACCCTTTCTCATGTTTATTCTCAAAGTTTATTTTCACCTACATATATCACTGTTGGTAATGGATCTAAAATTCGCACTACGGCCTACGGACATTGTAAATTAAAAACCTCCTCCCCCCGTTCCCTTAAAAATGTCCTTGTTTCCCCTCATATTACTCATAACCTCATATCTGTTCGACAATTTACTCGTGATAATAATTGCTCCATTGAATTTGACACTAATGGTTTTTCTGTGAAGGACCTTCGGACGGGAGCCGTGATTCATCGCTCCAATAGTGATGGTCTCCTCTATCCTCTTCATCCATCTGCTTCACCAGCCCAAGCCAATCTTGCCTCCGTTGATCATCAAACTTGGTATCGTCGGCTTAGACACCCCAGCCATGCAGTTCTCCGTGGAATCTCGAGTCCTCACATGTCTTTTTTGAATAAAAGTCAAAAGTTTAGTTTGTGTCATGCTTGTCAATTGGGAAAACATATTCGTCTCCCATTTTTTCCATCGAGTCGTATTTTTACTTTTCCATTTCAATTATTACATACACACTTATGGCAATCCCCGGTCCCTAGTATTACAGGATTTAAACTTTACACGCTTCTATTAGATGACTATTCTCATTATTTGTGGGTGTTTCCTCTACGACATAAATCAGATGTTTTTGCTCAACTCACCAAATTCCTAACCTATGTGCAAAATCAGTTTAACACTACAGTTAAAGTTGTTCAATGTGACAATGAGACTGAATATCGTAATTCTCCCCTTGATTCTTTCTTTGCATCCCAAGACATTGTCTTCCGTTTCACCTGCCCCCACACAAGCCAGCAGAATGGTCGGGCTGAGCGCACCATTCGCACTATCAACAACACGACACGTACTTTATTATTTCAGGCAAACCTCCCACCATCCTTTTGGATAGAGGCCCTTCACATGACTGCCCATATCTTTAATCTCTTACCCACTACCACCCTACATAATCGCACTTCTCACGAGATGTTGTATTGTACACCCCCTTCTTACACCCTCCTTCGTGTTTTTGGATGCCTTTGTTACCCTAATCTTACCTCCACGTCAAAACACAAACTTGCGCCACGCTCAGCCCGGTGCATTTTTCTTGGCTATCCCTCAAATCAGCGGGGTTTTCGTTGTCTTGACCTCCAAACAAATAAGATTATTGTCTCACGTCATGTTGTCTTTGACGAAAAATCTTTTCCACTCTACCCATTGTAATCCTGATGATTTTCTTTTTCTTGATTTCACGGAGGACGGCATAGCCCCATGTAACACCCCAACCCGCATAACCCGAACCGACGAGTTAGCAAGTCGAGTTGCTACGAATTTGGTATTCACATGCATAATATTATAAAAACATTTAAAAATAAAACATCTATTCATCTCTATTGAAAAATAATAAATCGTTTAATGAGAGTAAATAACTGAACGTTGCGGAAGCCTTTAAAACAACATCGTCAAACATCTTGTTGTTTAAACAAAATAAAAGTCAACAAGTATATAATTCAATTTTAAACAGCTTCGGGCCATCCACCAGCATCACGTTTCACTGTCCTCTTGGCTGCTCCTCATCCAATCCTTGATTCCTACCTGTAAAAATAGGGAGAGTGGAAGTATCTAACGCTAAAACTAACTCATAGACTAGCACCACTAATATATAATCAAACAATATCAGAAGAATTAGCAAATATCGTTATCCAACTGTACCGCTGTATACCCTTATAATTCAGATTAGTTCTTATACATACTTACTCCATCTGTCTGCTGGATATAATTTAATTCATACTTACGGGAGTAATGGAATCCAGGCTCTCACCCAAACCCACACTCATAACTCCAAAGCTCTCGCAATGGAGGGGGTTGAGGCCCCCGCTGGCTCTCGCCAGGGGTCAATGACCACCGTGCACACGTTTTTAACCCTCGAGACCACTGGGTGTACGACGTCACCCGCATGACCTTAATTTCTAATCTCAATCCTATTCATGATTTCCAATATCTAATCAAACTCAAATTTGCCTAGATCTATTAGATGGCTTGTTCCACAATTTCTGTTTAATATACATAATTATCACCAAGCCACTGTGTCGTAAGTTTGGGTTAAATTGTGGATTGTGAATTGCAAACAAGAGGAAATTCTGTGGTCAATTTCCAATATTTGAAATTAACTTTAGCTTTTGATTAAAGTCAATCTCTCTCCCACCGTTAAGCAGCAGCGAGGGCGGCGACCAGCAGCAACGGCGACGAAGCAGTGGTGACTGGTTAAGAGGCTCCACACCGGTGACCCCCCTCCTGCCGGTGAACAATCGGTAGTAACGATGGCGAAGTAGTGGAACCGAACAGGAAAGAGAGCAGAGCAAAAAAACAGCGGAGACAAAACGAAATACCCAATTCCAAATCCAAATTCAATTCATCATAATCATCCACACAATCCAACCATCATATTTACGAATTCACGTCAATTGGATGAAGATATATTAACGAATCCAAATCTACGAATCAATGTTAACGAGAGATACCACCACTCACCTCAATTCGATCGACGAAGAATCTAAATGATGACTAGATTCCGGCGAAGAACCTTGGCGATGTCTGGCGAAGCTTTCCGGCGTTTCCTCTGCTCTGGAGTCTAGACGGTACTTGCGTGGGAAGAAGAAGAGGGCACGATTATATACGGAGTACATAATTTCCTATTCGTAACAGAAACATGTTTCTTTCCCCCTTTGTATTTATTATCGTTATTATTAAATTATTAAATTTCTTTACATTAATATATTGAACTGTATTCACTATTTCCCTCACCACGGTTTACACGAAATTCCAAACTTGACAAATAATATACCGTTGTTTACCTTTTCTCGAGACCTATCCAAAAACTTAATTTTTAATTAAAATGATCAACTTTACAAATAATTCATATTTTGAAGTCAATAAATAATATATTCATTTTTATTAAAATTACGGCTAACTACTAGGTCGGGTTTCAAGGCGTTACACCTCATACCATTGCCACCAAATCGCTTCCCGCAGCAATCCCAACCATCTCATCACTCCTTCCTGCCTACCACCACCCTCTTCTGTCACTCATACCCCCCCTCCCCACCCCAACCGAGATCCACACTCCAACACAGGACCAAACCGAAACCCTTTCCCAACCTCTTCCACAACCCTCTATTTCCAACATTCACCCTATGGTCACCCGATCTAAAGCTGGGATTTCTCGTCTAAAGCACATCCTAAACCTCAATACAACTTATGACATCTCTCCCCTTCCTCCCACATATCGTAGTGCCTTAAAAGATCCTAACTGGCATGCTGCTATGTGTGATGAATATAATGCTTTGATCAAGAATAACACATGGGAATTGGTACCACCCAACCCTCACCAAAACATAATAACCGGAAAATGGCTTTTTCGTCATAAATTTGGCCCTACGGGTGAGTTTTCCAGGTACAAGCTAAGGCTAGATGGGTGGTTCGTGGGTTCAATCAGTGCGTTGGTATTGACTACAGTGAGACTTTCAGTCCTGCTGTTAAGCCAACCACGATTCGGATTGTCCTTAGCCTTGCTCTTTCTCGTGGTTGGCCCATACATCAGCTAGATGTTAAGAATGCCTTTCTGCATGGCACTTTACAGGAGACTGTTTATGCTACCCAGCCATCTGGATTTCAGGATCCCGCTCGTCCCCATTATGTCTGTAAACTTAATAAAGCATTGTATGGATTGAAACAGGCACCCCGCTCTTGGTATCTTCAGTTTGGTCACTTCATTCAGACATTGGGTTTTCGAGGATGTAAAACGGACACATCTCTTTTTGTATATATTCATGGGGCTGATGTTGCTTATTTTCTTTTATATGTTGATGATATTGTGCTCACTGCTTCTTCCACTTCACTCCTACAACGAATTACTCAGCACTTGAAGGGAGAATTTGCTATGACGGATAGGGGGGAACTACATTTCTTTCTAGGTATTAATGTTCAACGCACACCACATGGCCTTTTTCTACATCAGACACAATTTACCCATGAGATCCTTGAACGGGCTGGCATGGTTCACTGCAAATCAATTTCCACCACTGTTGACACTTGAGGAAAATTGGCCATTGATTCGGGACCTCGGGTGCCTGATCCTACACTTTATCGATCTATTGTTGGTGCTCTTCAATACCTCACTTTCACTCGTCGGGACATTAATTATGCCGTGCAGCAACTTTGCCTCCACCTTCATGATCCACGTATTCCTCACTTTACAGCCTTGAAGCGAGTGCTCCGTTATCTTCATAGGACCCCCTCCCATGGCATCACCCTCTTGAATTCATCATCCACAGACTACTTTCAGGCTTAATCTGATGCTGATTGGGCAGGTTGTCCAGATACCCGCAGATCTACTTCTGGCTATTGTGTGTTCTTGGGGGACAATCTCATCTCCTGGTCCTCAAAACATTGGTCCACCACCTTTCGTTCTAGTGCTGAGGCTGAATATCGTGCTGTTGCAAATGCTGTTGCCAAAACAAGCTGGATCAGGAACCTCTTTTTAGAGTTGCATCAACCGTTGCGTCGTACCACACTGGTGTTTTGCGATAATGTGAGTTCCGTATATCTATCATCTAATCACTTCGTTCGAGATAAATTCACACTAGGACATGTTCGTGTTCTTCATGTTCCATC